CTTAATTAAGTATTTCTTTTCTGGTGTGTTCCACTTTAAGAGGTTCATTCTTAATTAAGTATCCTCTGGTGTGTTCCACTTTAAGAGGTTCATTCTTAAATAAGTATCCTCTGGTGTGTTCCACTTAGATGGTCATTCTTAATTAAGTATTTCTTTTCTGGTGTGTTCCACTTTAAGAGGTTCATTCTTAATTAAGTATCCTCTGGTCTGTTCCACTTTAAGAGGTTCATTCTTAAATAAGTATCCTCTGGTGTGTTCCACTTAGATGGTCATTCTTAATTAAGTATTTCTTTTCTGGTGTGTTCCACTTTAAGAGGTTCATTCTTAATTAAGTATCCTCTGGTCTGTTCCACTTTAAGAGGTTCATTCTTAAATAAGTATCCTCTGGTCTGTTCCACTTAGATGGTCATTCTTAATTAGGTATTTCTTTTCTGGTGTGTTCCACTTTAAGAGGTTCATTCTTAATTAAGTATCCTCTGGTGTGTTCCACTTTAAGAGGTTCATTCTTAAATAAGTATCCTCTGGTGTGTTCCACTTAGATGGTCATTCTTAATTAGGTATTTCTTTTCTGAGGTGTTCAACTTGTAAGAGGTTCATTCTTAAATAAATAAGTATTCCTTTTCTGACGTGTTCCACCTAAAGATGTTCATTCTTATTAAATAGTATTTCTTTTCTTACCCTACTATCACACCAAACTAGTTCTCACTACGTTCTCGAAAACGGGCTTAAACTGTGCACGAACTGATTTGACATACTAAGAACCCACTAAGAACCGTTTGGGATCTGTTTACAAACTTCATGAAACTACTAGAACGTGTAGGTCCTCCAGCACTTATAGCATGCTCAACATTTTCTGGTGATCATCAAAACGTTGCCGAATCGGTTTTAAACTGTGTGCGAACTGAATGAACGTAGCTACAACGTTCTACAGTCTGTTTACGAACGTCATGGACTTTCCCGGACGGGGTATGTGATTTAGAATTTTTATTCGATTCAAAATTCGATGGCGACCATACCGTTCTGTAATCAGGTCATAATGACCTTCTAGACTAAGGGACGGTTTATACTACGTTGCACACTGACGTGGTGGGACCTGAACGAACTGCGAACGTGATGGACGTATTGAAGACTGTTTATGAATGAAGTAGCTAATTATTTTTCAGACATATATCCCGACCGCAGCCAGATCGAGCCCGTTTAACGACATTTTCGTAGGACTGGCAAGAACGGGTAAGAACTAGTTTGGTATGATAGGGGAGTTAGGTGCTCCACTTTGACAGGTTTATTTTGCATTAAGTAATTGGTTAACATGACTGTGAAGTATTCCATACATGGAGGTTTTACACTTATAGATGTGTTCATCTTTACAGGTTTACTTTATATCAACAGATAACAATAGAGAGATTTCGCACATAAGTGAAAGTACAACTTATACGTATAGTTTAAAGGGTCATGTCGAACTATTATATTTACTAAAATCAATTTTAAATTGTACTTAATTGAACATAACTATTCCCTTTATAGAAAAGCTCCATCAGCTAGATACTATGAATGCACTGTCATCTGCACGTGTAGATTATGCACATTATAATTAAATGCTTGCTTCCGTGTCCTTGTAGTTGTAGTGTATTATAAACACGATCCTTTAAAGGGAGTCATGATTTTTTAAAGTGAGTCATTACATAAACAAGTTGATTATTTTAATGTTTTCATGATCAGTATAAGTTCAATGAACTTACAAAACGGTATATTTACGTAGATGATAACATATACAGTTGGATCTCCGTATAAAGATTTGCTTACATGTGTGTGGAACAATTGACCGCAAGCATTTTTTAAAATTAATTGGCTGAGTGGGAACAGTTTCCAATCAAATACTTTAACCATCAATTTGAAACACCAATCAAACCAGTAGGTTCTAGCAATTCATGGAAACGACCCATTCAGTAGCTCAACATATGACATTCAGGGTGTTTCATAACGAGCATCTCCAAAAAGTCAATTTGAGAAGAGATGGGTCTATAACATATGTACTATATATGAGCCTATTTTATTCTAGACAAACACATTTGGATCAACTAAACATGCTACAATTCAAGAAAGTACAAATGGCATCCCTTTGACCTGTATTTATTACAGTCCGAGAAGATCTTTCCTGACGAAAAGCTCACATTATGAAACACCTTGTACGTTTACCTATAAGTATAAGTATACGTTATAAGTTGTACTTTCACTAGGTGCGAAATCTCTCTATTATGTTACCAGCAAGTTCACATATTGTTTATATTCTCCAACTTTTTTGTGGATGGTCTCCTGTGGTTGATTGGTGTCTGTAACAAAAAGCAATAATTTGCATGTTAATGCCTTCTTTTTTAGTATGTCACCACCATAATGGCATGTGTGACTTGTAATAGTATCCAACTTTTTTGTGGATGGTGTTCGATGGTTGGTGTTTGGCAGTCAGTGTATGTAACAAATGGCAAGTGGTAACATTTTGCAGGTTAATGCCTAGTTACATAGTTACTTTGATACTCATAGAATATTCTACCAAAATCAAAAATGGTATTTTTGTTACCAATTGAAAAACATATTTGAGCAAGTGTCACTAACTGACTAAACTATCAAATATAACATATCAGTTTGTGGATATAATAATACCACTCATTAACCATAGGATATCTTCTATATCCACACTGAAGTATAACACCAACAGTAGACTTTAATATGTTTAAATAGGAAAGAAATCATGTCATTTTATTGGAAGTACTTAATAATACTGTATTATGTATTACTATTACTTAATAATACTGTATATTATGTATTACTATTATCACAGCAAATAAATAGATAAAATAACAAATCACATAATGTGTGGAATGTTTTACACTCATAACTACCTGATTAAACAAGATGATACCAAATGTGGATTACTCCTCCTCCCCTGTCCTTTTTTGCAATGCCAAAGAAACAATACTGTAAATTGCTTTGTCTTGGCCGTTTTAATTTGGCAGATGAATATAAACCACCAAATTAAGTCTAATTTAAAAAAAAAGAAATTTCTGGGGATTTTCGTCCAGTGCCTTTTTTCTTGACTGAATCATGGATAAAATGTCAATTTTAAACTATTTCTGAAGACCTACGGGGTCCCTACTGGTTAAGATAAAACAATCTGATACCAGGAGACATAAAGTTGTGTTTATCAGTGGTGAGCTGTGAAGTGAGTTATACCATTGATGATGATTAATCTGCCAAATTAAATAGCAGACAAAATTTCAATTTACCCAATCTGCAAAATTAAATAGTGCCAAATTGAAGCAATTTATAATATTGGCCAGATTTAAGATTCATGCTCACCTAAATTGTTCAAATGTAGGTAGCAGTACTCTGAAGAATAAAAAAAAAACTACTCCTGAGAAAGTTCACCCTATTTCATGAAAAATGCCATGCAAGTGCTCTCAGATCTTTGACTGTGAAAAACTCTTCTCCGCAGAAAAGATGCCCTTGCACAAAAATAGATAACTGATTGCTGAATTTAAAAACTTGACTTGTGAATTAAGGGGTCATTAACAGAACTTTCACAAAGTTACGAATTTGTGACTTCATGAAATTCGTAAATATTTAAAATGTTACAAATGACTTACGAATTCGTAAAGTAACGAATCGGCCATTAACAGAACACTTTCGTAAGTCATTCGTAACTTTTATCGTTCGTAAACGAGTTTCAAATTGTGATGTCATCTTAAATCATTATTTAGCACAAATAAAAATATGATGTTATTTATTATCATTGCGCGCTGTGATTAAACCTGTCTCCTTGATCTCAAAGATTCCCAGCTCAGGAACATATTTGCTAATTGTGTAAGAATTAGTGGAAATGTTAGCTTGAAACTTTGCATGCATATAAAAAAACTATTTACCTTACATAAGAAATGAATCAGAAATATGGGTCTGGGGTGCTATTAAAGTTACGAACGAAAGCATATGTGACGTCATTTACCAAATTTGTAAAATTAACAATTGACTTGCGAATTCGTAACTTTACGAAAGTTCTGTTAATGACCCCCTGGCTAATACTGTAAATTGTTTTAATTTGTGCTATTTAATTTGGTGGATTGGGCAAATTTGGAAATTTTGGTTGCCACTTTATTTGGCGGATTGACCCATCAGAAAAATATAGAGGGTTAGCTATGAAGTTTGTGGCCAGGTTACTCTTGGGTGACACAGGGAGGTTTTACCTTCATAAATGTATATGAGCTTCAAAGGTTACAAATCAAAATATTGAACAAATTCTCAATGAGACTTAACAGGTTATAAGATCCCAGGGATTTTTTCAAAAAATTGGTGGAGACATAATTTGGCATTTTTTATCAATCCGCCAAATTAAAACAGCCATCAAATGAAAGCAATTTACAGAACGCCAAGCTTCTTCTGTGCACTAAAAGATGAAAAGGTATATTCATCTTGAGATCATTTATTTCCAATGTATATAATAGCATCAATCACACTGTCTGTCGACCTGAGAGCCGATACAGCTTCGTTTCTGGTCACGTGTAACTGTTTCATAATAACATCAATGTCTCCTACACTAAGACCAGTTTCATCCTCAGCCTGTTCGCCAATAGCTTGGAAAACAGTCTTATTATGAGCAATATCTTTAATATTATCAACTGTAACCATTTTGCCTTTGTGGATTAACTTAATTTTGTCAATTGGTATTCTCAGTTCAGAACAGATTATTTTGTACAAGTCTTGGCCACTCAAATGGTTTTGAAGCATAATCGGATGTTTTGTCTTATTGTACCGTATTTGGATCGTAAATGTTTCTCGAATTTCATCAAGCTTTGGCGTATCAGATCGAATATTGTCTCCATCAATATATGTTTTCAAAATTTCTCCAGCCTTTTCGTCATCAGTGTCTGTGAGCTCTTTAGATTTTTCACGATTTTTTTTGAAAGCATCTTGAAAATTAATGTTACTTCCCCGAATCAATCCCTTGGGTTGATTCTTCACATTTTCTGTATGTGATAAGTCAGGCACATTTAGACTTGGTTTGCATTTATCGTTTGTTTCAGATACTCTAGCCTGTGTTTTAGATAGATTTGTTTGTTCATTCTGTATATCTATACGTCCGGGTGTAACATTAGTTTCAATCCCATGTATCATTACTTGATTATCTTGCTGGTTGTTTTGTTCTCCACCTATAACTTCTTCCGTATTTCCGTATTGTATTCCACTGTTTACTTGTTGTACTTCTTGGTTTACTTGTTGTACTTCTTGCTTTACTTGTTGTACTTCTTGGTTTACTTGTTGTATTCCATGGTTTACTTGTTGTACTTCTTGGTTTACTTGTTGTATTCCATTGTTTACTTGTTGTACTTCTTGGTTTACTTGTTGTATTCCATTGTTTACTTGTTGTTCTTCTTGGTTTACTTGTTGTATTCCATGGTTTACTTGTTGTACTTCTTGGTTTACTTGTTGTATTCCATGCTTTACTTGTTGTACTTCTTGGTTTACTTGTTGTATTCCATGGTTTACTTGTTGTACTTCTTGGTTTACTTGTTGTATTCCATTGTTTACTTGTTGTAGTTGCAGGTTTGAGTTACAAGTTACTTTGTGTCTTGCCCAATCAGTAATTTGACAATCTCGTCCACTGGAATCAGAAAAATGTCACCATATTACCATATCAATCATGTTCACATCTTATCGATGTGCCACACCCACCCTAAGGTGTGGAAGAGGAGAACTCCAGTGCACAGATCAATTCTAACATTCATCTCCTATCTTATGTCACAAAAGCATTGGAAACCTCAAATTGCACATGTATAAGTATTTTACTTTTGTCTGAATTCCATTTTATATTAAATAATCAACATGTATGCAAATAATCATGTTTTTATTTTTGAAATATTTCTCAAATCATACATGAAAAGTACAAAATAAGATTTTTCTTGGATGGAATGTGTACAGGAAGCATTTTTTCTCCCATTTTGAAAACCAAGGGCAATACTTGAAAAATAAACCCCACATTTATGGGGGTAGAGCTAATGAGGTGAGAATAGGGAAATAAAACAGGTAACTTTTTTTGCATTCCTGTTTCCGATCCTGGTAAAATTATATGGCAGTAAGTTTCGAAAGAAACATTGACTCATGGTTGACTCAAGTCCATGATTTGGACCAAGACGATCACGCTTATTGTGGGATGGTTGACAAACTATTAGACATCAGGTGTTGATACAAGCTCCAGAGAGGTATGGGACATGGATACCAATAACACCATTGATAAAACCATGGGCTTTCATATTGAAAGCCCATGATAAAACAAGTCACAGTGTACAGTGGGGAACATAAAGAATTACTATAGCTATGAAAATTACATGCTGTCGCACATGTAATAAATTCTTACCTCAGTGTATTCAGTGCTCTATTTTCTATGTCCTAGTAAGTCCAAATATAGTGGAATTTGTGTCCATAATGACAAATAAGAACTTAAAAAGTTGAAGTGGATATTCACATGTGGGTGGTGACAGTATTATTACAGTGGTGCAAAATTAAATAAAAAAAGTGCCTTAAAAAAATCAATACAATTCCTGAAACAACTTATATAGTATATTAACATAAAATCACATCAATGTACACTTAACTTGCTTTATGGTTTTATTTTCACATGTTCAATAGTATAAACAGAACAAGTGTTGTAAACATCTGCTAAACATAGGACATTACAAACAGTAACAGAGTAAAGTTGCACCATTACCGTTTCAAGCTCTCAGTAGTCAGATAAGCAGTCAGATAATCTCAAAGACTATAAAGCGTCCTGCCATGTATTCCATGACCAACAATTACAAAAATAATCATAAACATGTTTTATCACCTGTATTTAAAATATTTCCTCCCGGGAATTATTCATGGACTTGGAAGAGTACGATCGCACTGAACGAACTGTTGAAAAAGATTCATTTCCGGTCAAAATTAAGAATCAAAACAAAGATCGTTTCTAGTGTTTTTTTGCTTATATTTATTGATTGAAAGTAGATTAGAATCAAAAGAATAAACAAGGTAAGTATTCGGCATGAAAGTAGAATCGGGAATACTAATTTGACTACATATTTCAGCCTAAAAGAAGAAGAAAATATTTTTCGCTATATCTTGATGTCAGGGTAGACTCTAGTCTAAGTCTAATGCGTGGCGCTGTTAATTTATGGGTGGTGCGAGATAATTCAGGGTGGCGCAGCCAAAATTCGCGTAAGCGCCACGCATTTTCCAGTCAGGGAGAACACAGTACCGCTTGGGAGAGTTTGAGACACGAAACTTAGAATTTAGCTCATTGTGACAACTTTTGATGGTTGAGGTTTAGTTATGTCATAATGTCCTCCACATGCATAGGGGAAGTCGTCCTATCATCGCACGGGTACTCAGGGAAACTACTGACGATTTCAAATATGATAACTTCAACTTACTTTGAGAATATGAGATGAAAGATCAACCTTTCCTCTAAAATCTAAGTAGTGTTTGACATTTCTCAATCTCCGGACGCTAACACTTTAAGACCCCTTAAACTCGCATGTGCGGTGGTCCTAATTATCGCACAGTCGTCCTAATTATCGCACAGTTATGTTTCAGATGTCATTTCACGATACTGTATACATTTCTCTGTTTATAACAGATACATACATATGCTGTAATCATTTTTCTATCAGTTTTAGTGTAAAATATCAACAAAATATACATTATACACATACTTTTCTGTCTTTATTTGGAGGGGGTCAAAATTTGTCAGACGAATTTCACTTCTTGCGCAAAAGCATTTATGACAATGGCGGAAGTAAACAATTCTTAAAAAATGAAGAGATATTTCTAAATATATGAATAAATCGTGAAGATGGGGATTAATGGTGTTGAACTGTTTTTCGTAACACTGGTTTAAAAGATGGTGGGTGCATATTTTAGCTATTTAGGACAATCGTGCGATAATTAGGACCGTGCGATAATTAGGACCACTTCCCCTATGCATAACCTTCCACTCCCAGTGTACAGTTGGGGACATAAATAAATGACAGGTGGATTTGCTGAAGTGAGGATTTCCCATGTTAGAAATAAGAGAATTTACAAGAGGCCATACATCAGTGGATGAGATTATACAAAATGTAAAATATACAAATTTCAAGGGATATTTATCTAGACAATATTGGAAATTATGGGCTTTCAGACCACCATAATTAGGAAATGGTGATCGAAAATCGACCTGTCATTTATTTTTGTCCCCAACTGTATAAACATTCCCAATAAACAACATGGTGATGAGAGGGATATTATGACTGTTTTATAAAATTACAAACACAATGTGGTTAAATGAATTTATATTTACCAGTAATATACGAGCCTACAACGAGTGCAAATCTTCATAGCATTTTTGAATTTTTCACATTTCGCACAAACCGGAAGTGGCTCCATTCTTGGGAATCATTTTGTATACTAATGTAAAAATAATAATATAACAATACTTGAGTTTTCCTAAAGAAATATTATAAATAATTGATATATAATTTCAATCTGTTTCTATTGTTTATTTTACGATATAATTTTTTATCTATTACATGAGTTGCTGTGGCAAATAGGTATTTGACAAAAATTACAGAATGATCGATGTATATCGCGACTATGTAAACAAACGCCAGTAATATTTATAATATTTGGCATCTCATCAACAAGTTCTTTAGACTAAACATATCGTGTTCTTACGCTAATGTTTTATTGTTTTGAGACAAAATGTTCAATTAAATATAGCTTTCATACAAAAAGTACCTGACATTGAAGTATTTTTTGAACTGAGGTGTACTTACATAGTCAGAATCTTACAGGTGCTCTGAAAATGGCGGATGAAATTGAAACCGAATCTGCGTCTTTTTTGTCTACTTTTGCGTCGGAACTGTTTGGCAGCCCCCTTAATTTGTGCTTATTAGCAATATGCCTGTTTCTTCTATACAAGATATTCGCTGGCAGACGAAATGCGACTCAGTTCGAGCCAAGACCACCGGCTTTAGCAAAATTGAAAAAACAGGATTTTACACTCGAGCAACTGCGGGAATATGATGGGAAAGCCAAAGATGGACGCATATTGATGAGTGTAAATGGCAAAGTTTTCGATGTCACAAGAGGAAAAAGATTCTACGGTCCAGGTAATATTTTGAATGTGATATAAGATGACAGAGAGGTGAGAAGGCTAAGCTTGCTTAGACTACCTCTAATATGTAAGATAAGATAATATTTATTTTACGTTGGTTATAGTGTACAAGAAACATAAGCTCAAGCGCTATTCTCCGACTAGCAGAGATCACGATAATTGAAAAAACTTGTTAGCCATTGTGGCTAAATCTTCCAAAATATTTTTAGCCAACCAAAATATGAATTAGCAATTTTGAAAAACCGTAAAAAAGGGAATTCACAATAGAGGTGTCACGGTCCAAGAAAATTTCGGTACGGTACGGAACGGTACAAATGGTCTCAACACGTTACTTTCGGGACGGGACGGGACAGAACATTAAAAATGATGAAATGTCTGATGATGACAGTTTCACTTTCAGTTTCACTTTTCAAAATCATATTCAGGAATAAAAAAACATCCATTAAAATTGAATGTAAAGCATCTGCCGCGAATGTGATCGGCATTTCACATAGTCTGCACGGTGTAATATTACCAATTCGTTTACCTTAATTTCTTTCCTACATCCGGCATAATGCACTAGATTTGCGAACGACGATGAAGAAATTTACGAACAAGCATTACCATCTACCTGAAATCGCGAGTCCGTTAATAACACTTTTCAATGCAAAGAAGTGTAATCTAGGTACGAGGTAAGTGAAAATATTTCAGAACGAAATCGGAGGTGTTCCTCGCTATTTATACACGTTTTTATGCTTTTTAGTGAAGGAATCTATGTACCGATATTAACCCTTTCTGTCCCATGTCCCGAACTGAAGCATCTGGACCGAAATTCGGTCCAATATTGGGAAACCGTGACACCTCTAATTCGCCATAACTGCGAAATACCTTTACATATTTTTCGCCACCTCTTTCGAAAATTCGCAATTGGCGAATGGCGAACGTCTACCGTGATCTCTGCGACTAGGATGGTTCTACTTTGAATTTTGACATATGGGTAACTTTGTCATAGGGCAGTTTTGATATCTATGCAGTGCCATGTAAAATTTTAAAATGAATCGAAATCTCCAATGGGCGAGATCTAATCCAAAATGGCCGAACCTAGAAATTTAAATTATCGGCAAAAAGTGTCGGCTTTTGAAAATGATGTCTTGAAGTCACACCAGTTTTTCCCTACCTAAATTTTGGACCAAGGTGTTCACAATTTGAAGGAAGATGTTCAACATTCGTAAGTCACTCATTAGATGTTCCCAAGATGACAGGCCGGATGCCTGATAAATTACTCGAAATTACTAAGGCCTAGCATCATCACTGAAGCAGTAAGCGCTTAACCCACCTTGTCAAGGGATGTCATTGCCTTATTTGGTCGATGGGACGGAGCAGGTCGTTATTACAATTTCAAGATTTTCACCCAATATATTTTTTAACTAAAAAGCTACTTATTCACAAAGAAAATGAACCAGCACATGCAATGACAATGCCAAATGTGCTTCTGCACGAAATTCGTTGGAAGTCTTTTATGATCTTATTCAAAGTTACTAAAAAAGGCGCAAACATCCTTACAGATGTCGTAGACATCCCATGCTTGTAGTAGATAATTCAATTAAGATTATTTTGTGATTAAAGTGGCTTTAGATAACTTTCAGGAAACAATATTTCATTGCTGTCTTTCATTCAATGTAACAATAAAACATCCTAAAATGTTGCTCAAAAATTACAAAATCCTAAAATGTTACATAGAAAGTCATAAAAGTATAAATATTCCAAAATGTGGATAAATAAGGGTTATGTACTAGGAGGTTTTGAATATGTTTTTTTTTAATTTTTCAAAATTGTTTTTCCAAAACAGGAAGATGTGCCCTGGAGCGGGAGATATGGTGGGAGATATGGAGGTTCTGGAAATTGTAACCTCAAAATCAGGATACGGGATATATCTTACCAACTTATTTCCCTAAAACTCTACTTGGCATAACATATCTGTATACCATGATCCAATATTTAGCTTACATCTATTGTTGAATGTACCTTTTTCAACCTATAAAATGTCCTTTCTCGGAAATATTAATCAATATGCCATTTTCATTATACTATTACTATAGTAGCAATAGAAGATGAGTTGTTACCACTGAGTTGTTGCTTCCTTATTGGCTATTAGACTACAAACACAATGTCAATATGCCCTAGGCCCTCAAATATATCTATATCATAAATCTGGTTACGTTGTATTTCAGTCAAATGTTGCCCCCTTTGTCTTGCAATATTTTAATTTCTCATAGATTTTAATTATCTCTGAAAGTATTCAAATATTCAATTCAATTCTGTAGAATCATTCAATGAAGGGCATAAGAACTACATGAATCAAGAGTATTTAAGCGTTAAATAAACATTTTTTGGCATGTCTTGGGTCACAATGTTTTTAAAGTGCAGATGTACCTTGCTACTGTGCTGTAAGTACCTTGTATACACATACTATATTAGTATCAGAAATAGATATACAGTAAAACTTGTTATATCTGAGCACCTCTCAATGTGAACACTTTTAGTCTCATTTTTATGTCACTGAGCTATAAGTCTCCAGTTTTTTTGTGGATGGTGTTTGGCAGTCGGCATCTGTTATAAATGGTAGGTGGTGACATTTTGCATGTTAATCTGCCATAGATTGCAGTGCTCTTTCCACATTGAAATATCTGAGGAGCAACACCTCCATATAAGTCTCCAGCTTTTTTTGTGGATATTTTTCGGCATTCAGCGTCAGTAATAAATGGCAGGTAGTGACATTTTGCATGTTAACGCCTCTGCCATAGATTAACATTGATATGTGAACACCTGCCAAGTAAGTTTATTTTCTAAATCTCAATTGAATGATGGGATGATCTCTGTTGACGATACAAGAATTGCCTTTGATGAATAAATCATAAATGAGCTCACCATTTATAGATACATCATTAATCTATTCTTTTGACATAATGTAGCATATGCCTTCAATACCCTTGCATAAAACCATATTGTTCTACCAGTATATTGCATGATTTTATGGATGCCTTAATATAGATTCATTAATAATGTTAAAATGTGATTGTGATGGTGTTATGTAAACTTCTCAGTAAATAATGAAATTCATTTTTTCGACTGAGAAATTCCACTAAACAAAATGTTCAATCCAATTACACGAAATGAAATAATAAAGAGCGATTTGCATGATTTGAAAATATTCACGAGAAAATTAACATGAAATAAACATTCCAGAGAGAAATGTTTTGAAAGGAATTTTATGAAATGAAATATTCAAGATGAAATGAAGATAGAGTAAAATAGAGTAAAAAATCTGCGAGATTAGTAGCCTAATGAAGTAATGAAGAGAATATTATTTTCAAGCGTAGAACATTTTCTACTTAAAGATATATCCCATCAACCGATTATTACTTAGCTGAAAATAATTACATTGTGAAGTCGGCTGCAAGGTAAAACCCTTTGGAAAAGATAGACTTCATTTATACTCTTTGAATTAGATGTAATTCTTTAATTATACTAATACAGTCAAAGAAATCGGGATGAAAATCAGGGGTGCAAATTTCTGAAAAATCAGGAGAAAAATCTGGGTTACAAAAACTACATTGACAATTTGAAAAAAATTGGGAAAATTAATTGGTAGACAAATCCAGGCTTACAAAATTGATTTCATAAATAGGGGAGTTTGACAGGTGAGTATTAACTAATTAGAGCCTGCCATCCCTCTTATAAGGTAACCATGTTGCATTCTCAGGTTGACCAACTGAGACTAGTACTTTACTTGCCAGTGAACCCAGGGTAGTCTCTTAAATCCCAATATAATAATATAATATAATTTGCTGCATATTGAATCTAGATCTAATGATCAGCCTGAAAATGTTACTATAGAAACCTGGCCCCTATGTAAAGGCAAATGAAATCGTTAGCTCAATCAGCTGGAACCATTTGTGAAAATTTCATATTGTCAAGTTATAGGGGGTACTCTGATATGATATGATACTTAGATGAGGTAAGATAAAGCTGCTATATCAGTATATCAGTACATGTAGGAATGTTTTCCAAATGATGGAAAATTATAAAGTATTGAGGAAATAGCATGCCAACATGCTTTGTAGATACCTTAGTTTGATTAGTTCAAGTTTATTTGGCCAGATTCATTTTGGTTTGTAAACCCTCAGCTGAAACAAGAAGGGAAGTTTGAATTTTAACTTCGTTATTTCTATTGCATATATTGGATGAAGCCCAAATTACATATTTTGTAAATGCCTATCTTACACTAGTACAGTAATGTTACAGATTTGGGTTTTCAACTGGTCATCTTCCAATTCCCAGTTGTAATCCTATGCAATTAAACATAACTGCATTAACTACAACTTATAAATAAAGGTCCCTGTCCTCATGCAGTGAATTCTAAATAAACATACTCTCTGATATATTACACAACTCAATGTGTGACCTTTTGATGTCAAGACTGCCATTCAATTTATTGATGCCTATTTGATCCCATCACTCGGAAAGTGTTTGCCAGTGCAGTATAATTTTTACAGGATTGAATGAAGACTTGATGATTAAACATGTGGAGCCCCGTTTGATCAAGATCAAGTAAAGGTCATTGTTAAAAATTTGGCAATAGATTGAATAAGATATAAAGAATGTTTGAATTGTATTTTGCATACCCTGATTGACCTTAAAGAGTGTACATATTACAGTATAATATTATGGGAGACTAGTTTGAAGCATGGGCACTCTACTATACCTTGCATTAGGTGTTCATGAGCAACCCATTTGGCTTATTAGTAATGATTATGTATTTGTTTTTATTTGTCTGTTCCTTATGAATGGTTTATCAGATGATGTTAGATGTTAATAAGGTACTTTCAAAAATATACTAAACAATACAATTGGATAAAGAGTATCTTCTGCATTTCTAGGGGTTAGGTATAGGAGAGTGATGTGATGATAAGGACTCCAACAGTAAACCAACACTGTCATGCATTATTGTTTTTAGGGCTCAGCCAGTACATTCGGTTCTAAACTGTTTGGTTCAGTTTTTAACAGTACATTAATTCAGAAAAATATTGCCATATGCTGAAGTGAAGTATGGCATCCGATGGAGAAAAGAACTTGGCATTTTGTACATGTGAAGTTTTTGAAGTATGATATTTTCTCAAGCATTCATTATTCTCATATTCTGTTTGTGTGTTTCTAGGGGGTCCATACGGTGTGTTCGCTGGACGTGATGCTTCAAGGGGTCTTGCCACATTCTCTCTCAATGAGCAAACAATACAAGATGAGTATGATGATCTTAGTGATCTGAACAGCACACAGATGGAAAGTGTACGAGAATGGGAGGAACAGTTTATGGGTAAGTCATTGGTGTGTATGGGTAAGTCATTGGTGTGTATGGGCCAGTTATTGGAGTGTATGGGTAAGTTATTGGTGTGTATGAATAATTCATTTTAATGTATTGGTAAGTCATTGGTGTGTATTGGTAAGTTATTGGTGTGTATTAGTAAGTTATTGGTGTGTATGTGTTAGTTATTGGTGTGTATGGGCAGGTTATTGATGTGTTATGTGTTAGTTATTGTGTATTGGGAAGTCATTGGTGTGTATGGATAAATTATTGGTGTGAATGTGTTAGTTATTGGTGTGTACGGGCAAGTTATTGGTGTGTATATGTTAGTTATTGTGTTTGGGGAAGTCATTGTTGAGTAAGTGAGTAAGTTATTGGTGTTTGTGTGTTAGTTAATGGTGTTTATGAGTAACTTATTGGTGTGTATGTGTAAGTTATTGGTCTATATGGGTAAGTCATTGATGTGTATGGGGAAGTTATTGGAGTGTATGGAGAAGTCATTGGTATGTATGGAGAATTTTTTAGTACATATGGGTAGATCATTGGTTTGTATTGGTAAGTTATTGGTGTGTATGAAAAAGTCATTGGTATGTATGGGTAAGTTGGTATATACCGATAAGTAATTGGTTTGCATGGGTTAGTCATGGGTATGTATGGGTAAGTTATTGGTGTGTATGGGTAAGTAATTGGTGTCTATGAGGAAGCTTTTGGTATGTATGGGGAAGTTATTAGTGTATATAGGTAGGTCATTGGTTTGTATTGGTAAGTCATTGGTGTGTATGGGTAAGCTATTGGTATGTATGGGGAAGTTATTAGTGTATATTGGTGGGTCATTGGTTTGTATTGGTAAGTCATTGGTGTGTATGGGTAAGTTAGTATATATATGGATAGGTCATTGGTTTGTAAATTAGTAAGTCATTGGTGTGTATGGGGAAGCTATTGGTATGTATGGGGAAGTTAGTGTATATGGGTAGGTCATTGGTTTGTATTGGTAAGTCATGGGTGTGTATGTTTAGTAATTTGGGTTAATGGCTAAGTTCTTAGATGAGGAATTTTAATTAATGGTGAAGTTTATTTGAGTAAATTGAAGGGGTTTATAGGTAATTATGGGCACCCTTGCTTGTTTTTAGTCCTCTGAATAATGAACATCATGAATGATAGTATATGAGTCTTTGTATATATGTTGTAGCTAACTAATGTTTTGCCTTGAAAGTTATTTCTTTGTTATGATTTGCAAGTTCAGTAATTGCTCACACATCAGTCTCTCACCTGATACAATTATCAGTTATATGTCAGCTTGACCTGACAAACAACAGCTGAGCGACTATTACTAGTATTCAATGTTAAAGGGCCTTCTTCTGGGTACACATACTAGCTGTATTTCATTGTTAAAGGGCCTTATTCTGAGTACACCTAGCAGCTGTATTATTTAATGTTAAAGGGCCTTATTCTGAGTACATGGTTTACCAAGCCTTTTATACTGTATATTCGATTTAGTTGATGCATGGTTTTGGCAAAATATAAAAAAACACCAAGAATTCACATATTTTGTGAAAGTTTCCAAAAGATCTGTCCCGTGTATCAGGTCACTTACACTTTAGTTTTACAACTATGACATTTCAGTCCGACATTGTCCATTTTGCTGTTTTATTTTTCAGAGAAATATGACTATGTTGGAAAACTTCTTAGGCCTGGAGAAAGTCCAACTGACTACTCAGACAATGAAGAAGATTCATCGAAAGACGGAGAGAAGTCGAAAGATGATTGATACTGACCTTATAAGGAGATATTTACCAAATATGGATATATGTACCAGTGATGGTAGTATTTTTGCAGATGAATGATTTTAGCATTAGGCACAACAGATAATTGGAAAACCAGGGTTTGCAATAAAATTTGGAACTTAAAAGATGTGAAAAATACAGAATTAAAATTGACTTAAAATTTATGGATACTTGTCCATTAAGTATTTATTTCAGCCCAAAACAGTCGGTTTTGTGCTTTTTGAAACACAAAACCGGGCCGTTTAATACCCAAAAAAGGACATAGTGTGATATTATTCATGAAATATTTTCGAAAAATTTGGGTATAAGTAAGATATGACAAATATCCCATTCTTTTTTCTGAACAGAAATATTCCAAGAGATGGACAACGTATACTGAATATAGAATGGAATATTTGTTGTTTTATTCATTGTTGTGTTTCTAACTCACATATACACCAGGGGAGAATAACCCCTTTACCAATGAGAACGTGAGAAACATTCCAATGAAAATATTATAAAACACCATAACTACAAAAACATAAAACAAAACAAAGCAAAATTCTACACTAAACAGCCTGCTTCTGGAAGAAATAGACCAGAAAATACAAAGATTGCAAAGCCACAAAATAATTCTAGGGGAAGATTTCAATGTGCCACTTAATCACCACACTGACAAAAGTGGAGCACAGGACTAAATAAAAATCGTGTAAATTTCAAAAACCTTAGGGTAATTAAAGGTTACATTAGAAAACTGCCAAATCTACAGTCCTGCATTTTGTAGAAATAAAAAAATTATTTTTCGTCATGACTAGGGAACAATATTCCATTTGTACATATCTAGATGATGCTGGGACTGCTAGTCGTTCAAACTCAAGTTTGAAACTTGAAATATTATTTTTTTTAAAAATGACTGTATAAAGTAGAATGTTCCCCCATTGTACAGCACATTTAATGAGAAATACTGTATAAATTGACAAATGTTTTAATCGTGTATATATATAAAAGTTAACTGTCTCCGGACTGTAAAAATCTGTTCATTGTACAAAATAATGTTCTCCAAATTAGATGTATTAATTATACTATGATTAATTTTAACTGGTATTATAATTACAGTGAAAATTGTAAAGTGGAATACCATAGGTCATTTATGTGGAACACCTCAATAAGTGGAACACTCCAGGTAGCATTTTCCCAATCATAATTGAACACCTCTCAACACTTTTGAGGTCAAGAAGTTAGAACTTAGAAACACAGTTGCCTGACTGTCAATGGTAACCACTTGGCAAAGAACAAGGAAAAGCTAGTTGCCTATTGGGCAATGAACTAAATGCCAATATGTTAAATTGGGCAATCACTTTTCACTATTGGTAATGAATTAGGAAAAACAGGTTGCCTTTGGGCAGTGAACTAAATGCCAATGCATTTATTGTAATCATGCCTATCATGCCATGCCTTTGGGATCATTAACATTAGTTCAAAGTTGTTCCACTTGTGCAGGTGTTCTACCATACTCTAAAACAATTCTTGCCTAACATGTACTAGTATTCTATAAATAGCATAGCTTCAATGAAATGTATCGATGGTTAACAGTGGAGTGTCATAGTTAAAGGCAGTTCTTGTTACTGTATACCAAACTGTACTTAAAACTGTAACGTATCTTGTATTATATGTTAGGTACTATAGTACTAGTATACTGTAAATAAATGAATAGATTAAATCTAATGCATGCTGGGTAATGGAAGAACGGTATTTAGCGAAAAGGAGACTCCATTGTCTTAATTCAGATCACTAATTCTTTATTTTATTTTTTATTTTTTCTCTAAAATTTCTAAAAAATCTGCAATTGATGAATGAATTAATTGGATATACCGGATGAATCATTTTTGCTGTTTGTGAGAAAAACTCAATTACAGTGAAACCTGTATATCTGAACACCTCTCTAGTCCAAACACCTCTAAATGTGAATGCTTTTTGACAGTCCCATATTTTAATTTGCATACTGTTCATGGTCGATCATACAAATTATGTTCCCTATGCTTGCTTTACAAACTTATCTACATCGGCTGCTTTTATATGTTTACTTAAAATTCATATTGAATTCAGATTACTGTAAAATATATATTAATGGCACAGTGGCAGGCGAAATTGTAATTCATGATTTTGCAATTTCTTTTGGCATTTTGGACTTGCAATAATTCAGCTATTTCTATGCTTCTGAATGGTTTAATTCCTTATTTGTATATTTTTCGTGTTTTGGTTTTAAATCATGCAATGTGGAATTTCTGAATTTAGGGGGATTTTCTCTATGTTAAAACAATTATGATCAAGTACTACAATAGTAATATATTTTTCATTCAAGTATTTGATATCACCATTTGTGAGTGAAGCTACGTTTTAATTGTAAATGATTCTTGAAATGTGGTATTTTCAGTCACTTTAAATGATCTTGGTGCCAAAGTTGGGGAATTAAAGTTGACTATGTTTACTTATTTTAGAGATTATCAACAACTAAATTGAGAGAAGTAAAAATATTGAATAATGAGGTGTCAAGGGGAAATAATGAGGTGACAATGGGGTGACGAGAGGGAAAATGAGGTGACGAGGAGAAACAATGAGTGGGAAAATCAGATGACGAGAGGAAACAATGGGGTGATGAGGTGAAGAATGAGGTGACGAGGGACATGAGATGACGGATGGAAATAATGAGGTGACAAGGGGAATAATTGGGTGACAAGGGGCTTATTGATTGATTGCAATTGTATATAGAAGGTGCTAATGTAATGTGTAAATGTATCATGTAATGTATATAAAATGCCTTCATATTGATTTAATATGGTCCAAAAAAGCATTTAATGTAAGATTTGAACCAGTGTTTAGTTTGTTTTAGAGTGGCCTTTACTACTAGATTACCCATTGATTACTACTAGATTACCCAATGATTACTACTAGATTACCCATTGATTATTCGATTCATCAACAGTTTGTGTACATTAGAGAAACCAGTTTAATATGAACATAAATGAATGTCCAGTAGATGTGTTCACATTGTGATGTGTTCACATTGTGATGTGTTCACATTGTGAAGTGTTCACATTGTGATGTGTTCACATTGTGATGTGTTCACATTGTGAAGTGTTCACATTGTGATGTGTTCACATTGTGATGTGTTCACATTGTGATGTGTTCACATTGTGAAGTGTTCACATTGTGATGTGTTCACATTGTGATGTGTTCACATTGTGATGTGTTCACATTGTGATGTGTTCACATATTGAAGTGTTCACATTGTGATGTGTTCACATATATGTTCATATTAGATATGGAGTGACTGTAATCATAAAAACCAAGCAAAAACAATTGTTATTTAAATATCTTTCTGATGATTGATTAAAATTTCATATTACAGTGTACAACTGAATGAGCTAAAATGTTAAACTGCATGTCTAGAGATAGAGATAGACATCTACATATGAAGTGGCGTTTTCATTTTTTATGTGTTTCTCTTCCTGGTTGTACAATATTCGGGCAGATATGTAACTAACAATTCATATGATGCGTGACATTTTGTTTATTGTCCATAACAAAAAAATAATTCATATATTTACAAAATACGCAAATCTTTTTTTGTTCCAGTTGGTAATCCTTTAAGGCCCTGTGAAATGAGTTTGACATTTTGAAATCATTTCATGGTAGCTTTAACTTTAGAACATGTAGACTGTTAGATGTACCGTAACATTATTTTACTAAACTTTTGATTTGGAATAAAATATATATGTATATGAAGAAATGATAAACGAAATGTTTTGTGATTTCGTTCCGTAAACAGAATTGCCGCACAGGTGTCAGTGGATATATTTATCATGATATGGCGGAAAGTGCAAACAATGATTTTCACCATATTGCTAAAACTGCTTACTGTTTACAAAACTGTTTATTTACCAAGACTAAATTTATGTTATTTGATTAAAAAGATATGGAAATAGAGAAATTCTTAAAAATCTTAGGCCTTGACCCGTCCTACTACCGTAATCCCGTCCACACGGAATTCCCGTGGAAATAATTGGGATCCATGTGGGTTTCACAAGGATTCCACATGGATATGGATTGGCTGTGTGGTAGAAATTAAAGTGGTAACATAAGTATCTGTAAATAATGATTCACACTTTAGTCTTTGTAGTAATAAGGCCATGGACGGAGGCAGGCCAGGCATTGCCCATATCAAAATTTCTCAAAAACTATTTGAGCAGACATTATCAATATGTGCGAAAATTATATCGAATTTACAGTATTTTATTACCTCAACTCAAATTTTGCCTCGCCAATTATACTTTACCTCACCAAATCATTTAGATCCTTGCATATGATGACATGTTGTCATGCCAATGACATGTTGTCATGCCAATGCCTTGTTTTCAACATTGTACAGTAACATTTCATATTTCTCACATATTTAATGTGATATCCCTTATTTGACAATTTACCATGTCTACCTTCTGACCTTGTTTTGAACATCTACTGAGTAGGCTAACATTTCGATTTCATACTTCTCAATTTATTTATTTAACACATCTCATACCAAATTGTGCCTCATTTTGGACATCTTTTACTTTTTTTGAAACATTTCAACATGAGATCTCATATGTGTCACCTTATTGGTCTCAATTACGATTTTGCTGCACACAGCACATTGTAAATCTTTAGCTAGATGATGCTGGAGGCCTCGATTGCTTTGGAACAATTTATAGCAGTCCCGACATTGGTGTGATTTCTCCCCTGTGTGCGCAGCACCGTGATTGGTCGGATCATCACCCAGTTGATCGAGTCTACGGTTGCATACGTCGCAATATTTGTTATGTACCAACTGATTGTGGTATTCCAAACAACGTTTTGAAAACATGTTTTTATAGCATAACGAGCAAGTGTAGTTATCAGATACCTCAAAAGGTGGCGGGACTGCATCGATTGTATCATATAATTGATTTGCATTTTGTAACATCATGGATGTACTATGGGCTGTGATTGTTTGATCCTGGTAGGTAGCAGGCACTGTGATTGGCTGATCCTGGTAGGCAGCAGGAGTTGTGATTGGTTGATCCTGATAAGTTTGCCGTGTATGGGATGTCTGGTAAGATTTGGATATTGCAGGTGATGGCCATTGTTCCTGTATTGTAGCGTATATATCTCCAGTCGTACAGGCAGGGCCTATGAAATTAGACAAACCAATAAGAAAATGACATTGCAAGTTTCTATTTCGCAAAACATGCATTTCAGTAACAGTTCATTAGTTTTCATTTCTGGTAATGACCAAAAACTTTACTATACATATCCATTACACACAGAAAGTGTATTTCATTGCTGGATGGAAAGAAGTGAAACACCCTTGAACCAAGGATGTGCTGGGTGGATTGGTACCTTTTAACATGTGTACAAATGTGGAAAAAATCTGACAAGTGGGTTTCCTGATATCTAATGACTGGACTTATATAAATAACTTCTAAAATGGCGGCCAGGAATCAAATTTGAAAAAAACTGATGTGTGGTTTTCTTGAATAGCAATGGCAAAATGGAAAATGTCGCCACCTGCAATTTGTTACAGACACCCACCGCCGAACCCTGACCACTGAACCCTGACAGCCGAACACCATCCACAAAAAAGTTTGAGATAATATTTCACCACTTCTGTGGGTGACATAAAAACTGATCAACATAATAGCAATAAATAAAAATAAAAAACATGAACTCTAGGAACACATGTTCTCATTATTTCTTTTAATACTAATCAATCTACAAATTACATGCTCATAAAAGCAGCTACATTATATTTTATGACTAAACTGTAACAAACCTACATGTACATCATAGTTGTGGGCATTCAGATGTAAATGGACAATATATTGCAATTATTAACTAATTCATCACTATTTACTTTGTGGTAATTTATGAAATTAATTGTTGCTACCCTTTTAGTAAAAATCTACCAGATAGACAGGTAAGTCACAAAAGGCGACCTATACAAAAGTAAATAGCCCAGTCATTCAGCATTGGTTTTCAACTATACAGGGTGTCAAATAAGTCCCGTCCCCCCCCCCCTCTACAGCCAAAACCAAGATATATGGTACCAAGTGTGATATATCATTGGAAAGGTCTTCGAAAGTTATGTTGACTAGCATATATCCGACACATGTCAATCAATCTCACAAATTTTTACATTGTATCAATTGAGGTGACCATAGGCCCAGAAACATTGACATAATTTAAACCTCGTTAAATGTTCCTGCATTGGTCTTTTCCCAATGGCCACAATCTTATAACTATGCTGACCGAGTGATTAACAGTTGTTTCGGTTACCTGTTTTGGCTCACCCTGTACTGGTAGTAATTAGATACAGGGGCAACAAAGCATAATTATATGTTTAACTTTTTCAAAAGTTGAGTTTCATCTTTATTCTTTGAACATGGTTGATCTCACCTTTCCAAAGAGGACAAGAAATCAGGACAGGTTGATCAAAATGCAACTGGCCTTCGTGTCATATTAAAATTGAAAATATCAAAGGCCATGACACCTCATATACTGTAAAACCTGTCTAATCCGAATGTCAAAGGTGATCGGACTAGCAGGTGTTCACATTTCAAGTTTTTTTAACATGGCAGTCAATGGGCCATGAGAGAATTACATTTTGAGACCAAAAAATGTTCTCATCGAGAGGTGTTCAGATTAGAGAGGTGTTCAGATATACAGGTTTTACTATATTTGAGTGTCATTGAAATATTAACAGCATCTAAACTGTATTTTCTCGTCTTACTCAGAGTCATTGACTATACCTTTCCAATTTTTTGGCCCACTCTGTACTTGCACAATATGATTGAACTGTCCTATTGAACGTTATCATCTAATCAAATGTTAGGAAAATATATCAGAGCAAAGGTTCAACTCCAATGACACGATCTGCTAAAAATTAAAACTTTGCCAAGTGGTGCTGCTTCATATGTGATTGCTTCATGCTTCGTTGAATCTTCTTTTTACACACAACACACAATAAGTCTAGTTTGCCATGATGGAAATAGCCACTGTGTGAGTTGAATAGCTTATAACAATATTTGCACTGGTGTGGCTTCTCCCCTGTATGTTTAAGTCCATGCTCTTGAACGTTTGGCTCGTCATCGAGACGTAATTGGCATACATCGCAATATAGATTGTGAACCACTGATGTATGATATTCCAAGCAGCGATCATTTGGAAAATCTTTGAAACATTTATTGCACATAGATGTCTCTTGAATGTCGATGGGTTCGGGAATTTCGCGTATGGTCATATATCGTTGTTGCTCCAGTGCTTCGCCATACACACCAGTAGTACACATTGATGGGTCAGAATTTGTTCCTTGGAGTTCTAGTTTTGGTCCGCCTGGTTGCATGGACTGATGAGGCTGATTCCCCAGTGCATATTCTTGAGATCTCCCCAGTGTGGATTCAAAGTTCTCCCCAGATACAGGCTCATAGACGCACCCTACAGATATATAAAATCTAATAATGATATTTCTGTGAATTCTTAAGATTTCCCCAGTGTGGATTCAAAGTTCTCCCCAGATACAGGCTCATAGACGTACCGTACGGATATATAAAATCTAATGATATTTCTATGAATTCTTAAGATCTCATCGATATGGATTCAAAGTTTTCCCTAGTTACATTACAAATTGAAGAACGGGGAAATGGCTCATCTCAAGATCTCCAAAGTTTTGTAATAAATTCTACACATACTCCTGGACTAACCCAACTAATTAACAAATTGATGGAAGTGCTCATGTTGAAAAATAGTTCTCTAACATACTCAGGGCTGTCAACTTGGGACCACCTAATATGAGTGACTTCAAAATGTTGGACACCTAAGTCCAAATCTGAACACTTTTGTCCAAATTTTGAACACCTTTGGCCAACTTTTAAACACCTTTGGCCAAAGTTTGAGCACCTTTGCCAAACTTTGAACACCTCAAATTTTTCGCGATCGCTACGCTCGCGTTGTCGTCAACGGGGGGGGGGGGGGGGGGGGGGGGGGGGTTTGGTACGAAAAATTTCCAATGAACATGCGTGACACATACGGGATTCGTGTGACAAATCCGAACAAATTGCGTTCGTTTTTTTCCGGCGTTCGTATTTTTACCGTATCGTAAACATATTTCGAAAAAATTTCTACAGAAATATTTTTTGCGTGACATTTTCTGTCACGCAAAAAAAACTGGCGTGACTTCAAATTCTTCAGCAAATGCGTGACAAATACGCAAATTGCGGGACAGTTGACAGGCCTGCATACTGTACTCCCATTTAATTTCACGTGTTTTAATTTCGGGAATTTTGAGAAAACACAATTTCGCAGCTATTAAATCTCGCAGATTTCACAAGATCCTGTTATTATCTAAATCTTCAAGCTCTGTAAATAAGGTTACCTCATGTACAGTAAGTACACCTACCAAATGTCATATTTTGATAACATTTACAATTATTACTAGATCTTGGTCAATGGTATGCAGCACCTTTACCTCTATTACATCATCATTTTCAATTTATTTGATCTGATAAACCACTGTAACAGACATTGTTGCTTAGTATCCTATTTATCGCCTAATAACACTGGACAAATTTATTGACAATTTCGCGAAGATAAATTTTCGCGATTTTACTACAATCGCGAAAAACCCGAATCTAAATCGCACGCTAAAAATACTGGGAGTACAGTAATGATTTTAGCTGCATAACCCCTCCCTCTTTTTTCAAAATAGTTCAAACACATATCGTACTATTCAGAATTTATTATGCATACAAAATTATTCACAGAGTATTGGTCTTTGATACAAATCTTCTTTTCTGTAAATATCTAAACTAAAGGATTTCACATCAAGTACGTGGTATGACAAATTCAAAGAAATATCAAATCTGGCCAATAAAAGATTTTTAAAGGCCTCAATGAGTGCATGATTTCAAGCATGTACGTCTTGTATCAAGATTTTCAATGAAGGTGGTAGCCTGAATTGGCTGTAATTTGATATATCATCATTTACTATGGATGAAGTCTAAATATATATCTCTGTACAGTACTTGTACATGAAGTAAATTGCTGCACAAGTCCTAAAATTTCTAAACTGAGACAGATGGACTGATAGCAGGCTGTACTAACTCTAACATTACATTCATTGGTATAATGAACAATATGTAACACTTAGTAACTGTTTGGCTGCTATTTTCATATGATACTCAATATCTAAAAAACAAATATTGTCATTTTCCAAAATAAGTATCTTCCTATTATCAGGGGTTTTATCAGCAGCATTAATTTTGCCTATTATTTTCATTCATTTAGCCTGTTGTGAGAAATTCAAGTGAAAACCCTGATTATATCAATGGTTTCAAATGTAATTTCATGTGACGACTACGATCTCCTTTCTTGATACGTTTACTGCAAACTTGACACTGAAGCTGCTTGCTATTGTGATGGCTAAGCCCCATACCGGAGTTGAATAGTTTATAACACAAAGGACACTGAAATGGTTTGCTTCCTTTGTGCTTAAGCCCATGAGATTCAATGTTCTCTTCGCCTTCTACCCGAGCATTGCAAACATCACAGAAGAATCTGTGGACAACTTGGGTGTGATACTCCATACAGGCGAGAGTTGGGAATATCATTTTGCAGTCATGACATGGATAATCCTCTAAAACAACACTAGGTTCAGGCACTTCAGTGATATCATTATACAATATTACGTTTCCTTGAGGGGTGGCTACGGAAGCACCATTATCCCTTTCATTCTTATAGCTCTCAAATCCTGCGCTTTCAGTATCATGTACGATGGTATATACAGAGCCTTCTCCAGTTTGGATATTATAGTCTTGTGAGTGGTAACTTCCAGTATCAAAACCTTGTATGTTTATGTCCTTGTCCCCAGTGTGTAGGTTATGCAGGCTCCCTGATATTTCGCCAGTATGGAATTCTCTCCAGTTTCTGTCTTTATCACCAGTGTGAAACCCTGCATTGCAAAATATAAACTCCAATCAGTAACTCCATTGGTATATTTAATACACAGTTTAACTGCTGGTTTTCAATGTTTTCACTGTTAATGCTAACTTTAAATAAATAGATTTGATTGTTTAAAGTTTGAAATGCTTCTGATCATTATATTTTGAAGAGACAAGGCATTATGTTTGCTAGGGTAAATCAATTTTTATGTTTGGTCATATCAATAAATGTTCAAATAACAATTTGTTATTATTTGTCACTTCGCCTGATTATGTATTCTACTAGGCCTACATTGATCTTTGATCTCAAATGAATCCTTTCACAAACTATCCCCAAGAAATACTACAAAGAGTTTTCTTAAAAGTGTATTCACCAATATACAGGTTAAATTATGAATAGTATTGGCAAACATGTAGGGAGGCAGGGACCCTCTAAGGTGGGACCAAAAAATTTAGGTAAAAAATCTGCTCCTCCCCACAACAACAGGGTAATTTAGACAACCGGGTTATTAACATTTAGATCACCTTTTTTGGCTCACCCTGTACTAGAGCTATTACAAATGGATTAACTGAGGGCAGGGCTCTATTATGCCTAAAATGTCATACTAAGGTTCAATTGCTCATCCATGGCAGCCCCTTGTTATTTCCTATATCAAACCAAAATATCCCAATGCTTTGTCATAACTATATAAAATAATAAAAAAACACTGGTTGTTTTCCATGATACCTGTCAAACACACTTACAAGGCTAATTTAAATTTTAAATAACATAGTAAATTTTAATATCTCTAATGTCATTTAAGTACATAGAGAGGAGAGCCCCTCAATAAGCGCAATGCTTCTAGGAAATCCCCTTAAATAAATAAATTAAAAAACAAACATTTCATTTGTTGGTAAAATGAACAATATGTAATGATTGGAAACTTTTAGAAGCTTACATTTTGGTACGAAACTAAATATTCAACAATGAATACGGTCATTTTCCAAAATAGGTCTTCAAATGTAATTTCAGGTGACGACTACGTTCCCCTTTCTTGATGCGTTTATTGCAGACTTTGCACTGAATCAGCTTGCTGTTGTGGTGACCAAGTCCACTGAGGGAATTGAATAGTTTATAACACAATGGACACTGAAATGGTTTGCTCTCTTTGTGTTTAAGCCCATGAGATTCAATGTTCTCTTCACCTTCTACTCGAGCATTGCAAACATCACAGAAGAATCTGTGGACAACCTGGGTGTGATACTCCATACAGGCGAGAGTTGGGAATATCATTTTGCAGTCATGACATGGATAATCCTCTAAAACAACACTGGGCTCAGGCATTTCAGTGATATCATTATACAATTTTAAGTTTCCATGTGGAGTGGCTACGGAACCAACATTTTCCCCTTCTCTCTTTTGGCTCCCAAATTCTGTGCTTTCAGTATCATATGCCATGGCATATGTTGAGCCTTCTCCAGATTGCGAGTGGTAATTTCCAAAATCAAAACCCTGTATGTCTTCGTCTCCAGTTTGTAGGCTTTGCAGGTTCCCTGATATTTCACCAGTATGGAACTCTCTCCAATTTCTGTCTTTCTCGCCAGTGTGAAACCCTGCATTGCAAAATATAAACTCCGATCAGTAACTCCATTGTTATATTTAATACACAGTTCAACTGTTGGTTGTCAATGTTTTACTATTTGTGTTGATTCTAAATAAGAGATCTGATTGCTTTAAGATTGAACTGTTTTTGATCTTATTACTCGAATATTTGAAAAGATAGGGTAGTGTGTTTGTTAGGATAAATTGATTTTTATAAATAGGCATTTATTTTATCTATTTAATCTTATGTTTTATCAATAAATGTTCAAATAACAACTTCCCGAAAATCAATCTGAATTGCAAATTTCATTTAACTAGATTTTTTATTCTACCGGGCCAACATTTGGAGGGGGGGGGGGGCACTAAGGTGAGCCCAGAAAAAATTGGAGCCCAAAATCTGCTCCTTCCCACATAAACTTAGATAATTCAGATAACAAACTGATTAATTAACATCTGTTTGGGTTACCATTTTTGCCCCACCCTGTACTAAAGTGTTTACAAATCTCAGACAGATGATTGACAGCCGGCTGTAGTATATCCCTAACATTTCATTAATATCTGTTGGTATAATGAACAATATGTAATAATTGGCTTACATTTTGATGTGATACTTAAAATTAAAATAAGAATATTGTTTCTGTGTAAATTCATCACTCTGGTAATATATTAATAATAACTTAAGTTCATTTACTTCAGAGTAAAATGTTGAATGAATTGCAACCATTTTTAACCATTTTGAATATCTTGATTAACTCATTCGCTACGAATGACGTGATATGACGTCATAAAGCACATACGTTGACTACGAAGGACGTGATATCACGTCCAAGCACAAACCAAATGTTTATTTTGGAATCTTGTAATCATGACAACCTATAAAATGGGACTTAAAACCCTATTGATTCTGAAAAAGTATATCATATGCTTTAAAATGATATGCATATGTATGCCCATGTATATACTTTATATATTATCTCAGAGGTACCATATACAGTTTATGGCAATTTTCAAAAATTCTTCAGTATTTTAGTGCTTTTGCCCCAGTATTGAATGAGTTAAGCTAGTTGGATGATTAGCGAAACGTCGAAAATAAAACATTTTACTCTGAAGTAAAAGAATATTCTTATTTTCAAAAATAATTCTCTTTCAAATAGTCGGCTTCAAATGTATCCTCATGTGACGAGTACGATCTCCTTTCTTGATACGTCTATTGCAGACTTTACACTGAAGCAGTTTGCTATTATGGTGCCGAAGTCCCTTGCTTGAGTTGAACATTTTGTAACACAACGGACACTGAAACAATTTGCTATTTTTGTGTTTAAGCCCATGAGATTCAACATTCTCTTCGCCTTCGATTCTAGCATTGCAAACGTCACAGAAGAACTTGTGGACAACCTGGGTGTGATACTCCATACAGGCGAGAGTTGGAAATATCCTTTTGCAGTGATTACATGGGTAATCCTCTAATACAACACTAGACTCAGGCACCTCAGTTAGATTATTATACAATTTTAAATTTTTTAGAGGAATGGCTATGGAACCATCATTATCCTGTTCCCTCTTTTTTCTAGTAAATCCTGCGCTTTCAGTATCATATTCCATGGCATAAACCGAGCTTTTTCCAGTTTGGATCATATAGTCTTGCGGGTGACAACTTCCAGTATGAGAATCCTCTATAGCTTTATCTCCAGGGTGTAGACTATGCAGGTTCCCTGATATTTCACCAGTATGGAACTCTTTCCAGCTTTTGTCTTTCTCACCAGTGTGAAACCCTGCATTGCAAAATATAAACTCCACTCAGTAACTTTATTGTAAGATAACATACAGTCATAACTGACAGTTTTTAATGTTTTTACTGTTTCTGCTAAATGGTCGGGTCAGTATTTCAATGTCCGTCAAAAAAAGTAATTAATTACATTAAGGGCTAAGTAAGTAAAAGACTATTTTATAAGGCGACGGACATTGATTTTTAGATTCCTGCTGCGAGGTTGTACTTGTACACTACACTGCACGCATATCAACATTTGACTTGTTAACACCACATGCAGAATCGACATTTTGACTTTAGTTAGAAGGGGGATGGGAAAGACCTAACTAAATAAATTGCGTTTTGTTGATGGACATTGAAGTATTAACCCAGCCCCTTATTCTAAATAATTAATTTGAATGATTTATGGTTATAGGGGCAACAAGGACTGTAGAGAGAAAATCAGAAAAAATTCATTTTTTCTGAGCTATCAGGTCAATATTTGGCTTAACATCTTATTTAACATACTTATTTTCTTCAAATGTATGGATCACGTGGGATAAACTATCAATTCCAGCATTAAGAAGTGTAAATTCAGCTTCTATAAAGGGAGTCCCACTTATAGATTTTTAAGATTCACCAAGTTTCAAGAGGAATATCAGCTGAAAAAAATGTTCATCCAGGGGGTTTCTTTGGAGATAATAAAAATATATGTTAGTCTTGATGAAATATCCAAACTTAAATATGTTTTGACACTGGTCGATGGTCATTGCACTAATTGTTGTACCTTTAAATGGAGGAACCATTTAACAATAAATATTCAAAATTAGTTTCTCAAAGCTGATTTTTTTCAATAAAAATATACTTCAAATCAATTTATTTCATTTTACTACATAATTATCTAGAACAAGCAATACATACATGGTGGGACAAAAAATAGTACACTTTTATATTTAGAACTGTTAGTGAATTAAGGCACAAATTAATTTGGTGAATTGGTAAAAATTGGAAAATTGGAAAAGATTTAATTTGGTGAATTTAGTGGAGTAGCCTAAGAAAAAATATCTGAGAAATTGGCAAATTTGACTTAGCGAGCCAACAAATTTTTGCAATTTGCCAAAATAAGCTGACTGACAGTATGTTAGCTGACTTTTCTCTTAGAGGGAGAAGATAATACATACAATAGCAAATTGGGTTTATTAGAGGGAGAAGATAATACATACAATAGCAAATTGGGTTTATTAGAGGGAGAAGATAATACAAACAATAGCAAATTGGGTTTATTAGAGGGAGAAGATAATACATACAATAGCAGATTGGGTTTATTTGGCACTCATTAAAATGTTGATGAGTCATCAGTTCTGTGTGTGATCAATGAGTGATTTTATCGTATGATCTGTAAAATGAAGCCCTCTGATTGGTCACTTCTTGTGCTGCTCTCAATCTGTATTGCTACTGAGATTGTCCCCGTTGATCATCTCCATCGCAATACAGAAAATATTGCTACGGAAGGGACACTCTCAGTAGTAATACAGAGGAGCACACAATAAAAACGTTATAGAATGATTTGAAGTGGAATACAGGATATATTCTGTCTCCATATTATGTATTGGCACTCAACTTCGTCTCGTTCCAATACAAAATTTCTCGAACAGAATATATCCTGTATTGCACTTCAAATCATTCAATAACTTATATTTTTTACCAAAATAATAAAAAAATATATTCTTCATTTAGAGTGAAAGTGAAAATTTGAATTGTAGGAAAAACAATTTATTGTTAAGAAATATCACCTACTAAGGAAAAGAAATGTCTTTCATCTTTTGATAAATCATCAAGATAAAAATGGTAAATCTGGTAAATGAAGTTGTACACATGAGATATCTAGAAAATGTCTTTGCCATGGATCAACATAAAATCAAACGTCTGTGGGTTACTTTAACGTGATAACTCAAATATCAGTATCTGTCTATTTTTCAACTGCTATGGATGTATGGGTTGCTGCACGAGTATCTTGAAATTTAAATCACAAATAATTTTCTGTTTTTATATCCAAGGATTGATCATTTTTCTCTTGTTCAGTGGTAGATTTATCAACAGCCGATTCAAAGTCTTCATGTTCATTATCTGCATTACCAAGATTAGCATTATCTATAGTATTTGATTGGTCAATGTTTGTTGGCACTTGTCCAGAATTTGATTCGTCAAAAGTTGACTCTTCAATTATTGATTGGTCAATTTTTATCCTATCAGTATGTTGATCACTATCCATTACTAAGGTGTTTGGTGGGGTTTGGTTTATACCACTGTCATACATCGAAGGTAGGTTCGATACAGGTTTTAAATGTAATTTCTCATGTGATGTGAGATTGCCTCTTTGTGCGAAGCCTTTACTGCATATGCTACATTTAAATGGTTTCTCTCCAGTATGAGTCCGCATATGGCGCCTAAGAAATGCTGGCGCTCGGAATGACTTTAAGCAAAGTTCGCAGGTATGTGGCATTGGTTTTTCCCTTTTTCTTGGCTCACGAACATTCTGGAAGATGGCTTCATGATTTTCTTGACTGGTGGATCCAAGGAATGGGTCAGTTGGCATTCTCTGGCCATAGTCCGGCTGATACTCTTTATAATGGCTTATAACTTCTGGTAATGCACCATAAGTTTGTTCATTTTCTGAAAATGGATAAATTCAAATATCAATAAAGGATTCGTAATTTTTCACTTTCATAGAAGCATAAACGATCAAGATGCCAGATGTACCAATAATAACAATCATGTGTAAATGTTTATTTCAGATATAACATTTTGGAATCCTTCATTGATAGGTGATTTACCTCACTTGATTTACCTCTCTTGATTTACCTCTCTTGATTTGCCTCACTTGATTTACCTCTTTTGATTTACCACTTGTGGTTTACCTCTTTTAATTTACCACTTGTGATTTGCCTCACTTGATTTACCTCTTTTAATTTACCACTTGTGGTTTACCTCTCTTGATTTGCCTCACTTGATTTACCTCTTTTGATTAACCTCTTGTGGTTTACCTCTCTTGATTTGCCTCACTTGATTTACCTCTTTTAATTTACCATTGTGGTTTACCTCTCTTGATTTGCCTCAATTGATCTACCTCTTTTGATTTACCTCTCTTGATTTGCCTCACTTGATTTACCTCTTTTAATTTACCATTGTGGTTTACCTCTCTTGATTTGCCTCAATTGATCTACCTCTTTTGATTTACCTCTCTTGATTTGCCTTACTTGATTTACCTCTTTTGATTAACCTCTTGTGGTTTACCTATTCTAATCTACCTTTCTTGTTTTACTTCTCCTATCCTAGCTCTTGTCATCAAGTGAAACACTTGTTCAGAAAATGCAAAGAAATTCATTGAGAAGTTATTGGGATAGGTAGACCACATTAAAATTAGTAATACAGTTGTACCAAGAAAACATTGATAATAAAGTGGCCCGAAGACCCTGATAATGGTTGCCATAGTAACACAATATATATTTGGTGAGGATGATAACAAAATCAAAGTGGTCAAATTTTGATTTGGTCATTTTGTGTTTCTATAGCAATCTGTACTACCACAGAGTTATGGCACAACGGTTTGAAAAAATACATCAACTTACAAAGGAATGGGTGACATAAGGGTTTGGACACCCTGTATATAAAATTCCATATGAGACCACAGACTAATCATAATTCCAAAATCCATCAAAACTATCACTTCTTAGTTATAACAGTATTTGAGATCTACTACATGCATTACATTTCTGTGTAAGTTAAATTAACTATACTTAAGAATTAGGGGTCCCACGATACATTAACATTATTCATTGATTTTAGTATCTCAATTTGGTATACAACTTCAAATTTTTTTAAAACTATGATTCAATTTCATCGGATGCAATCGTGGAATATTTGATTGTATACAATCATGGAATGTTTCATTGTATACAATCATTGAATATTCATTGTTTATGATCATTGAATATTTCATTTTATGCCATAGTTATCGTGATATTCATAGGATATCATGTCCAAGTAAAAACAGTACTTTTGTAATCAATGATAAAATATGACATTTTGACAAATTTTATTTTAAAATATTTCACTCTACTGAGGTGAATACCTACATGCATCTTTCACAAGTGATATTCCACGAAGCCCAGAGGGCCAGATCAATTCAGTGTTTATCAATACAGATCAATTCAGTACTTTGATGTATTATTGTCAGAACAGATTAATTCAGTACTTCAACACTTCATGACCAAAACAGTACTTTATGTATTAGTATCAATTCAGAACTTCAATGTACCACAACCAAAACAGTACTTCGATGTATCATGATGTATCAGAGTACTTCATGATCAACACAGTGCTGCTTCAATGTATCATGATAATTTGATGTATTATGATCAAATCAGTACTTTGATTTATTATGATCAAATTAGTACTTTGATGTTTTATGATCAAATCAGTACTTCAATGTATCGTAGGACCAATATTATATGTCTTTCTGAGCTCACCTTGATTGCTTGGCTCCTCTATGATGTCAGAATCTTCTTCCACTTTGATCTTCTTGTCATACATTCCTCCCAGGCCACTCTGTTCTTCTAGTGCTAACTGACGTTTTCTTGAACTACCTGGAATAATTTTTATATACACGTTTACAGATATCTTATATATAATGCTGCTCCACCTAACTTTGTCATTGAAAATATGAATTGACTCTGTGTCCCTACCAATAAACCAATTCATATGAAACTCGTACAGTTTCAAGCAAACTAACTATCCTTTTCTGCGCTTGAAAACATCTTTATTAATTCTGTGGAATACATAAAGTTTCTTTTCATTTCACACAGACTTTGAATTGTAATATAATAGGATTTTATTTGTATTGATGCCTTTTTAGGGCAAAATGTACATCCAACAACATACAATTTGATAACAGTTAAAAAATAGCAATAAAGTAATGAAAATAGGATTACATTCTTCAAATGACATATAAAATGTTACTTTGATATAAGAATCCTGTCTCTACCAATCATAAGATAATTTATCATGTCAGCAGATTCTTTTAATATGTTCCCCTAACTCGTCAAAAGAAAAATTGTCTTTTGATGATCATTCATGTTTTTAAAATTCTCGAAATCGTTGTTCCCTCTTCAAAAGAGAAGACGCGAAAATCTTTCCTTATAAGGGCAAAATATTTCCCATGATGCAGTTCGCGGAGGAACAAATTTATACTTCCTTATTTTCCCTCATAGGCTTAACATGGGGATTTTCACACCTATTTTTCAAACGATATATTCGTTCATATTCCCGTACGAGAGTACAGAAAAAAGTATTAGAAACGATTGATCTCTCATTAATCTAACAGCTATTTTTTTCATTGTATTAATTCATAGCGTGGTGAAAACGATGATTGAAAAGTGAGAAAATATTCCGGAAGAGAAGGTCACGTGATCAGTAGACTAGTCACCATATTGGAAAAACCAATTCCATTCGACTTTCAATACTTTCATGCCAATCTTACCACACTTCAAACTGCGACATCGATGCAACAACTGAATAAAAGTATTCATCTTCAAATTACATTATAGAGTTATGTTGAAAACCCACAAACAACTGAGCAGTAGACCAAAGAAGACGCGTCGCTATTATCTAGGTCAATCTGTTCAGTGGTCCGAAAGCAAATCTATAGTACTCGTTTCCGAATTTTGTTGTTCATTGTACAATCTTTTATTGATTAAACTCGGTATACTGACTATTAAAGCAATGACAAAGAAGAATACTTACGATGGTGTCATTGTTTTATTTAGTGTGCGGGTATAAAAACAAAATTGAGTAATTAGTTTGATTTAGAACTTTCGTGTCACGCAAATAGCTATGCGAAATGCATAGTGGGAAAATATTTGACCAATCAAATTTTGTCCTTTTTGAGTGCTTTTTCAGTGCATATTTGCGAACGTTCTGATTCAAAGAGCGAACTGCGAAAAGGAGAATTGTAATTGTGATGAAACTTTATAGACACCCAGTATTTACCTGACTCTCCAGATGAATAACCGTCTCCATAGCTATCTGGGGCAGGCTCTTGATGTCTCTGTCTCGCAGGGCTCTGTCTGGGAGCTTTAGGGGTACTGGACTTTGATCTCTGGGGCATGAGTGTCCTTGACGGAGTAGATGACATGAGTGGAGCAGTCTGAGATTGGGTGCCACCATTATCTACAATGACAACAATGCGAAATCATCATAAATGTATATTAGGAAGTACAATTACAGCAATATACAATTCTTTGTCTGGAAAGGAATAAACTCTGTATAGTTATAGTACAGTTCAGTATATGCGATTTACTTATAAACATCTCTTAGTTTAACAATGTGATAAATTACCAAATGCACATGTAGAATATGCATAAATGTTACATCAACAAAAACAAAATTATTTTTAGAAGCAATTAGGACAGGTTGTGTGTATATATCAGGCCCGTAGCCAGGATTTGCCAAGGGGGGTTCAGTTTTCAAAAATTTCCAGGGGGGTTCACATTTGACAATTTTGGCCCAAATATGGCTAAAATCACTTGAGAAGTGCTCAAAATGGTGAAAAACTGCATGATTTTGAAAAAATTTTGGCTGGGGGGGGGGGTCCCCAAACTCTGCGAACCCCCCCCCCTGGCTATGGGCCTGTATATAATAAAATATGTGCACCTTCGTAAGATGCATTGAGACTACTATCTTGCCAGGATGTTGACGGATTATGCAATTGCTCTTCCTGGCTTGTGGGCTTCATTATCGTGCGATGCATTTTTACGACAAGCTCCTTGCTCTCGTCACCTGGGCTAATACATATGATGCCATCTATCTCCAGTGAGTGGTCAAATATCATATGTTGCGTACAGAGTTTAAGAACAGAGTCTTGGATCATCTGTGTTAATACAGCCTTCTGTATGCCCATTATAATAACTTGGTGATCTGAAATACAAGAATAAAAGACCTAAATATACTACAAAAAGATTCCCCATATGTGCCAAGGATTCCCATCCATCAATGTTCATTTACCAATGAGGAGTAAGTCACGGACTCCAAATAACCTTTATAAGGCATATGAGGCATTATTTTCTATGCTTTATACATTGTAAATGTGATTGGTTACTCACATTCATAACTTTTGACACACATTTGCTGAGGCAAATGGAGCCCCGCCCATTTTTTGCGTGACAAAATATGTCACGCTAAAAATGGGCGTGACTTCAATTTCAGCAAATGTGCAACAGAAAGAAAGAAATTTGAGCAGATGCGTGACATATACGCAATTTACGTGAAATTTCCGAGCGAACTGGGTTTGTTTTTTTCAGCGTTCATTATTTTGATGTTCTCCTGAAATATTTTTGCTCGATAATTACTCAGAAAAAATGGGAAAGATTATGTCACGCAAAAAACGGGTGTGACATCAATTTCTTCAGCAAATGTGTGACATGACAAATACTGAAATTGCGGAACAGTTGGATGGCATGTACTCTGAAAAGATTTCACTGATTTCACTGAGATATATGAGCTAACCAGATAAGCAAGGTTAGAAAAACTTAAAAACAAATGCATGGGTGATAATTATTGGTGAAATATCTGGATATTCGTCCGTTTACATATTTTTATGAGATGTAATAAATAACCACATTTTATTTGGCCGATTATATTTCATCGAACTAAATACAATTATTATTATTATGAGCATATACTTACCAAAATATAACTCAAATTTGTTGAAGTGTATTTCTTTGTGCAGGTGCTCGTGACACGCCAAATAATATTTTTTTGCAAAATACAGGGTGTCCCAAACCTCACAAAACAGTGGGATATTTCACTATTTCATTAACCACAAGTAGGAGTAAAACCCGGGAAGTAAAATAAAAATATTGGGCCCTTAAACCAAAAAGTGGGCCCATTTTTTGAAATTTTGAGGCCCATTTTCTTCAAAATTGGCCTAAAATTAAAAAATAAGGCCTTAGAAGGCCCATTTATGACCAAAGGCCCACTTTTTTTGGGCCTTTAAGCTCTTTTTGGCTCAAACATTTTTTTGGGCCCAACTTTTTTTTCTGGGCCCACCAAAGGGGGGGGGGCTGGGCCCCAGATCCACCAGTGTACTACCAAGCTACGGATACTGGGAAGTTCTCCATACATAAACTGAATACTCCAGGTTTAGCATCTTGAATCAGAAAAAAACTGGCTCAATCCTGAGATGTTGTTATTCACTGACATTACAACTGGCAATAAATTCATAATCTGTTCTATCGGAAGGTTTATACTTATATCCTGATCCCCTGTTATGTGTTTTGGATTTCTTAGTAATGGATTAAGATCAAATCTTGCGATTTAAAATCTGAAGTGGGAAAAATATTCAAAATAGCGGCATTTGAATTTGTAATTACTACATCCTTTAGATCGATAGGTGGAGCGAGTTTTAAAGGCAATATTTCCGATTTAGTTCATTAGTTGACCGATAAAGCCAGTTTGGGGTGAGAAGAAAATTATATTTTTCCTTGAAGTGTTATTTTCATGTTTTAGGCGTGCCATGACAATCATGTAAACAAAACAAGTCAAAAATATTTTTTTAATTTCCACTATTTTTTTATTTCAAACTTCTTTCCTCACTTGTAGTGTAACCTAAAGATAACATGGGGTTTCTACCAAGCCCATGGGCCATGGTACTTCACATGGATCAAACATGTTATATGTTTTTCCGGCACAATATTTTTCTAACATTGCTTTTTAAAAGTGACATAGTTTTGTCAACAGGCCCAACAACAGAATATAATTGACAAAAAGCCATCAGATATTTAGGATTATTTCTCCACTGTTGTATTCCCAGTTGTTCTGGGCCACCCTGTATAAATTGACTTTTAACCGATATGACACTTGAATTATAATGAAAATCAAAAAAACATCGTTTAAAATGTTTAAAATTATTTCCTTCTTCATTTACAAATCTTGAAATAATCTAAATTCTTCGTAAATTTGTATAAGTAATTTTAAGTTATAGTTTTCGTTTTGATAACCACGTCTTATTTTAGCCACTAATTAGGTCAAGTCACATGATCAGTTTTGTCATCGCCATTTTGATAATTTTCATAATTTGCGAATCGAGAACCCTCACGTTTTATTAAATATTTTACACATTTATATTGTATATACTGTACAGAAATCATGTCTGCGGAACAACCATTATATACACCATTCTTTGGAGTGATGGGGGCAACAGCCGCTATGGTATTTAGCTGTAAGTAGACTGATGAAGTCATTTTCTAAAATTTTCTGGGATTTTTTTTGCCAAATCAACTTGCCGGTGTTTTTTGTGTTTTTACATGTTCATTATGTGATCTAGATTTATATATATGCTGTCTTTGAGCAGCATCTTTCACCCACGTTGGACAATTATACGGACTGGCTGGGAACTAAACTTGTGAAAGCAAGAAATCAGTGTGAATGAATCTAAGGGGAGGGTCTCCAGGACAAGAGATGGACTATGAAACTTCTAACTCACTTCATGTTACAAAACCTACAATCCATGTTTGAAATCAGAAAATTACTTTTGATTTCAAAAAGCCTGTCTGGAGTTCTGTTATTTTACTAATGAGCTAACGCATGTAAGCAAAACGGATTAGACTATCGAAAGAAGTACAGGAAGTCAGGGACCACAGATAAAAATACATAGCTTGAGACAAGGGTGTGTTGACGTGAATACTTATCTCTAATATAGGTTATAAGGAAATGTCCGTATAGCAGATTGCTCAGACTACATACTACAAAAATGAGGATTTTAACTTCAATCTTATTTGACTATGACTCATCCAAACATGTACAGGTGATTCATTGTCTGATGGGAAATGTTTATTTTCTTTGATTGATGCAGTATTTAGAAAAAATATTAACAAGAAGTTTTTTCTGGTGAATGATATTGTGATATTCATGTATTCTCATATGTGTAGAGGAATTTTAAAAGTTAGAGAAATATTTAATGATAATATCGCAGGAAGAAAACTCATTTAGTGTTGTCCATGAACTTAACAGGGCTAATTATTAATTGGCAAATTGCTTGTAGTAGTGTTAATTGTGTCACCCCCCCCCAAAAAAAAACACTTTTTCCTACTGACCTTTATCAGTTCTAAAATAATCTGTGATTTCCAGAATTTTGAAGAAATTAAATTTAAAATAAATTAAATCTATTTTGGATTTTTACTTCGCATCTCTTGATTTTTGGACAAGATTGTTTACCATATATGTCCTTAAAATTTGATATTCTGATTTACTTATCATTCTTAGTTGTTTACACAGACATTGGGTAGAATGCAACTTATCAGAACTTTTAACTCACCAGTGCATGTATAAAGTTCAGTAGTACACTTATAACTGTTCCATTCATTTATCCTCTTATTTCTCTTGTTAACTAAATTCATAGCAATATGTTGAGGGTAGTTACATTTTATATCATATTTAAAGAATACTGTACTCCTGGTATTTTTCATGTGCGATGTAGTTTCCCACTTTTTGTGAATTGAGGGTGTGTGATGACATCTCATTTTTTTCTAAACTAATTGTTAAGAAAATTTAGTAATGTTTCTTTTTTGAAGATTTCAGAACCTTTTGGTTCTTGGACATGCTTGGTCCTTTTATAACTTAAGGTAAAAACAGTATGCAATGAAGCTTTTGATGATTTATCTTAAAAACATCCTACATATTTATTTAGATCTTGTTCAGAAAACCAGGATTCATTGATATGAACCTCCTAACCAGTTTGGCTGATATTCACAACCATCATGCAATGCTTAGGAAATAATCAATAACTTGATAATTCTGATTAGTTTTTTTTACCACTTGTTTAAGGTAGTCATTATTCACTTAGCTACACTGAAACCTGTATATCCAAACACCTCTCTAATCCGAACACCTCTTTCTTGATCACTCCATTATTAAAGCATCTAAGTGCCTGACTCTGAAAAAATCTGAAAATCACATGCTGCCCTACCCTGTTGAAATTTTGTCATTACCCTGCCTAAATACTGAAATATTGGGATATTTTTACCAAAACTGGTAAAATTTGAATATAACTAGAAGAAATTCTTGACAAATAGGAGAATTATGTAAAACGTAGATTATTCTTGAGTAAATCAAACTTGATTAAAACTCTAAATATGTTTACTGAAAGATATCAATATTAATTGTTCTCCAGATTCTCTTAGAATTATTGATTAGTTAGGTCTGGCAGTGTTACTTGTATGCTACACAATAAGGAAAGACTAATCAATCAATAATTAACACCAGTGCAGACTAAATGGGATTGCATATCTTTGAAACACTTTGAATATGAATCTTTACATATTCTTTTGAGACCTCAATTTCAAAACACACCCCATTTTGAGAAAATTTGACTTTTTATTCAATGAACCTTGATTTGCCCATAATTTCAGAAAAGTGGTCCAACTGTTCTCAAAACTTGCTGAAAGGGATTTCCAAAAATAAGCAATGTGTCCCCCCCCCCCTCCCTCACCTTTTCAACACAGATATGCCCCTGATATATATCAGTACATGGCCACATATACTAATTAAATTTACGGTAAAACCTGTTTGATCTGAACACAGCTTTGCATATGTTCACATTTCATTTTAACATGGTAGTCAATGGGAGATTAGAATTTTTGACTTGGAAAAAGTGTTTACATTAAGAGGTGTTCAGATCAGAGAGGTGTTCAGATATATTGGCATTGTTGACCTCTAAATTGTTAATATATTGCCAAAGCCTCAAGAGTCTGGACAAAATAGAATTCTCTGTTAAGGTGGAAGTTTTTATTTATTATTTATTTGCATAATTTTGTTTAACACTTTTTTAACATGCTAGGAAGGCCTAGGTGAGGATTCCATTATTGTCCCCTAAAGAGTGGATCAATGGTACTATCCAAGATTGTTCTATTTCTCATGAGACCTCAGCTATTCTTGTGTAGACATTATCTAAGATCAATATTACAAACCCTAAGCTGCCTTTACTCCTACTACAGCTCCTTTTACAGCTAAAACACCCTCCTATTTATAAAGTCAATATTGCATGACCTAGGCCTAGGGTATTCTACAGCCAGAAAATCAAAATATAATTTCTTTAAGAAAAATATGAATGCTTGTAGCGTAAACTATAATTCTAACACCGTACAAATCTTGATAAAGGATAAATATACTGTGCAAGGTATCTTGAATTATTGAAACAATACTACACAATTGTCATTATTTCCATTGTCTGCCTTTTTCCACATCTGTATTTGATTTACTTTACAGGATGTTATTACCATCAGTTTTTGAACAAAAAATTTCATTGCTTGGTTATATTTCTGTCCTTGTCTAAGGAAGTATTTCTTCTTATTAAAGGCAATCTACAGAGATATTGGACGTTGTATTGTGGGTGGATGTTAGATCAATACTTGCTCAAATATTATAATATCTGCTACTATATGTGTCTGTTAATACATGAGACTCTGCAGAATTCCTTCACATTGCACCATATGGCATAGCTAATCTTCAGAATTGAGTATTGAATCTTGAGTACTGAAATTTGAGTGTTTAAACTTGAGTGTTTTACTGATAGAAACAAAACAGGGGTTTTATTAGAATGATTGTCAGTTTGGAATCACTTAAAGTGTAAAAATCAAGTCAATGACATTGTCAGATTCAGTCTTGCCATTTCTCCCATTTTAAACCTTATATCATACATTTATACAATGTAGTATTTGTGTGTGTTACACTTTCAATATTGTAGATTGATCAATTGAGCCAATGTGTTAATGGTAAAATATTTATGAAATGCTAGTCATTTCCTTGAACAAAATCTTTGTTCAAAAGCTTAAAAGGCAAAAAGAAATTTAATTTATTTTGCATTTTATTTCTGTACAAGCAGAACAAGAAGAATATCTATAAAACTACATATCTTAGTAGAATTGTTCAAAATGTATGGACAATGTAAAATTACAAATAGTAGAACTTGTGTTTGCAGAATGATTTTCAGATTTTGTGTCTCCTCATTTAACAACTTAGCCTAGAGATGTACGCTATTTCCTTCCAGGCTCTGGCATGCATGAATAATTCAGCATTTCTTAAAACCAAATATTATTAATGTTTTGACTGAAAAATCAGAAGCACAGGATCAGATCATTCAGCATTACTCAAAGTTTACATTTCTTAATATGTTTTCTAATCCAAAGTTCTTCTTGTATTTTCCAGCCTTAGGTGCCGCCTATGGAACAGCTAAATCAGGAACTGGTATTGCCGCCATGGCTGTCATGCGTCCAGAGCTCATCATGAAGTCCGTCATCCCTGTTGTCATGGCTGGTATTATTGCCATATATGGGCTTGTCGTAGCAGCTTTAATCGCCAATGAAATAAAACCAGATTCATACACACTTTTCAAGTAAGTGAATATTTTTGAATTTGTGAATTACAAAAACCCAATACTAATGTCTGAAATTTAAAAAGGCGTGAAGTATATAGCCTACCCCAACCCATGACCCATTGTTGATATTTTCATATCTTTGTTGGAGGGAGAATGCGGGGAAGCAACATGGGGATCAGTATAAAACTAAAAAAATGAATTGAAAATACATTAAAACTTTTCTAATCCAAATGCCTCCGGGACTGGCCAATTTTACACTTCAATTAAGTGAGAAACCTGATTCTTACTTGTTGGAAACAAAATATAAATTTTCAACAATATCCATTGACTCAGATAGAACTAAAGAGCAGATTAACCTAATACATCACTTAATTGATGAAGTGTATCTGAAGAAAGCTTACAATGAAGAATTCAACATATTGGGAAACATAGAATGTAATACCATAGGGGGTAGTTACACGATGCCCATGTCAAGCAGCGTGCCTACTAGGCACGCAGTTTGAAACTCTGACAAACTGCGCGCATATTTCAAAATGTGAGACAGGGAGGACACGACTCCCAAAAAGAGCCAAAATACGAAAAATACAAGGTTGGTCTCGTTCTAAAGATAGTACCATTCTGTGAAGATGAACTTAATTTACTCAATGTTTTTCCCGATGTAAACCTAGTTATCTCAATATAAGGGTCTTAAGTAACTTCTGTGTTCAAAATTTACAGTGTAAAGTTATATCTATGTCTTTTTATCGTCATTTGCCGTTTATTCAGCCATTGTGTCTGTGTATGCTAGAATATATAGGATCACTCCATCTGATTAAATCAGCAAAGTTTGTGTTCAAAACGATAATACGCCATAAACGTGATTTAAACATTTTTCTTGTCAAACTGCGCGCCTATATTCACAGGTATTTCCCAAACTGCGTGCCTAATATTTCTAAACTGCTTACCTATCCAAGCTTGTTTTGTATTATTAGAAAACATAAGCGCCATACAAGGCACATATGTGTCTAATAGTAGAACCCCATAATTGAAACACTATGAGAGTCCATCCACCAAGATGGTGATCTGAAAATAAAAGTTTTTTTCGTTCCCAACTTAATTGTCACTTCTATTATACATTTTGACCTTTAATATGAAAATCTCATAAAATCTGACGATAAAGCAAAATTTCCAAAGCTACATGAAAAACACCTCCACGTGCCTCTGTAGAAATTCCAATGATAATATGTAGTTTTAATAGTGTATGTGCACAGTTTGTAATTTCTGGCTAAAATAGGCACGCAGTTTGTGATTTATTTCTTTTTAATCTCCTGATTATCTGTTTTTTCTCGAAATATTTTGAATTATACATGATAAATGTGTAAGGAATTAAATATAAAACGAGTCGAAAGTATTTGTCATTTATGTTTAAAGTGCTAGATCGATTTACGTATATACATTCCCGTTAAATCAGTGACGAAAATGTCATTAATCTGTTTATGTTTTAAAGCTTAGATTCATTTGCACATAGTTTTTGCTAGTACATGTATTTGCAAGATTCGTATATTCGCCACAGTATGAACGCGTTGAACAAGAAAACAATGCAGGATAAATGTCTTTAAATTACGTTTCAAAATACAGACTCCAACTTAAATGATGCAATGTTCTAAGGCACGCAGTTTGTGATCGAAACAAACTGCGCGCCTAAGCAGGCGCGCAGCTTGACATGGGCACCGTGAGTTATCTACCTAGTATTATCTAGCAAAGGGTGATGTGCCCTGTTGAACATTTGGAAATAGCATGCCACCGCATTGAAAACTGTTTGCACCCTAGTGTGGACTTTCACCAAAACAGGGATTAGGCACATGTCCAAAAAAACATCCTGGGGAGATCAGTGAATACATGTTAATTGGATGATCCGATATACATTTAAGTGGAAATAGTCTAGCAACAAGCCCTTGTAAGTTGTGTCCCCCTCCCACTACTAGCTACACCCCATCTCTAGAGAGACCCCTAGTAGAGGGGCTCACAAAAGCTTGTAGCTAGACTAAGTGGAAATGGCGTACATTTATTAATCATATTCTAACACCCATAATTCAAATGGGCTCAGCAGAGGTATCTTCATGTGAATGGGCTTTCACTTACAATAGGAAATGCAAACTAATATTCTTCAAGCGTTTCAATTGAATTGATTTCCTGGTGGAATTGCTGGCTGTCTTTGATATGGAGTCAAAATTGGAATTGCTAGTGATCTTTGATACAGTCGAGTTTACCTTTTTTATTTTCTGTTTTCAATGCACGTTTAAATTATGGAAATAAGAAACCCAGCTGATTGGTGTTTAGTGTAACTGTTGCCATGACAATGACATAGATGATATCATATAAACTGAGGTAGACTTTAACATTTTAATAGAATCATGCAAAAGTCTTTGTTTTTTAGGGTTGGGGGAATATTTCATAATTTTCATCCATATCAAGAATTAGTGCTAAATATTTTAAGATATAAAGTGAGGTAAAATAAAAAGGTGGGAATTAGAATGAGGTATAATCTAAGAGCCTCAATATACTGCAAGGTATGGTAGTCAATATTTACCCTCGATGAGGACCCTTTAGGACCACATGTAATTCGATCACTGAGGGTCAAATTCATTTTTTTATTATTTTTTCACAAATTCATTTTAGTCCAAGGGGCGATATGATATTTCCCAAAATATGTGTTGATTATGTATTTGTGTATATGTTTACCCATTTTCGGCATGTTTGAGGTACACGAACCAGGTTTTTAAATAGTTGTACATTCATCATATTCTATTAACCTTTGGATAATCCCAATATCCTGAACCTCATATAGGATAATCTCTAATATATGTGCTGGTATGGGAAAACAATAATTATGATGGAATTGTTCAATTATAGGGGTAATGTCAATTTATGGTTCATGCCATGAGATTAATTGAATTGATGTCAGTTATTTTACAATGTAGCATTGGGGTATTTTTCAAAATCATATCTTGTATTGATACGATCCATATTGTGTGTAGTGTTAAATATTGGTCTGTTCTGTGTCACTCATTTCTACACATGATCCATTTGTTAACTGCGATTCTCCTTGCTCAAATCAGATTTTTTTCAAATTTCATCCACAAATTTTCTTTTAATTCATCAGACAATTGTATAAAGATATAGCATCTTAGTCACATTTAAAGCTAACCACTGTTTATTTCTATTTACAGGAGCTTCGTACATCTGGGTGCTGGACTTAGTGTAGGTCTTAGTGGTCTTGCTGCAGGCTTTGCCATTGGAATAGTAGGTGATTCAGGAGTACGAGGTACAGCCCAACAACCCAGGCTATTCGTTGGAATGATTCTTATCCTCATTTTCGCTGAAGTATTGGGTCTATACGGACTTATTGTTGCCTTGATCCTGTCAACTAAATAATAAAACAGACTACAAAACACTTAGACTGTTATAGAGAATGTTATATAATTATGTAATTATTACAATTGTATTGTATAGAAGGGGTCTTAATTCTTTAAAAGCATCATGGGTAATTTTGTACTGATTCGAATTGAATGAACACATTCCGAAATGTAATTTCCAGAGACCTTTTAGATTTTGAGACTTTTATGAAGTAACTTGTGATGCTTATTTTGGATTAAGATTATTACAGTTGTAGCGAATTGTCTTGTGTGAAATTCTCTTCCATTAAAATGGACTGTGTAAAGTTGGAATTGGCAGACGGATACAATCTAAATGGTGGAATCATACGAAAAGAAATTGATAATAAAGAAAATGAATTCTAGAACAGTCTTGCCATATTTGGCATAATGATCACTGAATATACTGACAACAAACATACAGCATTCCATTTCTCGAATACTGAGGGAGGGGGGATTGAGGGAGGAAGGAAAGGTTAACTTATTGAACAAAAGGCTGTGCCATTTCTGTGTGTTTTACGATATGAGGTGATAAACTATGAAAGTAGCAAATTAGCAGTGACGAATAAACTGAAAATATTCAGTAATCAAGACCTATATTTTTGTCGTTGTTAAGTGGGCAAAGTGCAATAACATTTGATAACCTTATGCTCATAATTGAAATCAAAGGGAGAGCAATTTTTCTAAAAAAAATTGTTCCCAATTCTATCTCGTAAAAAATGTATGGTAAAATGCACAGGAATGTTCCAGTCTTTGTTTTGTAAAATGTTTAAGAAAGGCTGTGTGATAATGTCCATTATATGCATATAAAACTAGATAAATACCAATATTAGTTGATATTATATAGAAATTATTAGCCATGTGATAGTGTACACTTCCTCTTATCAAGTTTGAATTTTAGACATATCCATGATTATCTAAAGTGAAAACTGATACGTGGAAAGAAATTACAAAATGTAGAAAAATGTCTCAATTTTGACTGGATTTAGATTATGGTCACTAAAATTCACCATGCTACATAAAAATACATCGATATATTGTTGTTAAGATAGTCATAAGTATTATGTCATTGACCAGTAGAGTCATGAATTGACTGACGTGTTATGACTAGGACATGTAATGACTAAAAATGTAGAATGTAGAAGAACCGATGTTTAGTTCTGTAATTAGCTGTACAGTATAAATTCTTTATAAATTGTTATTTTTGTCTTAGCAAAAATGTAGATTTAACTCATTTCATTTCGCATCAAGAGCTTTGTATATAAATATAAAGTGGCAACTTTGTTTCATACGGCTTTATATCAGAAAATTGAACAATATAAAAATGCTCAGTTTTGTCGAACTCTTGATTTCTTAGATTACACCATGTTATATAGCAAATAACACAGATCCTTTGTTCTTTTCTGTATTTCCTAACTTAGTTTTGTTCTAACTTAACTTAGTTCTATTCTAACTTTAAGTAGAGCCATTCTGACATACAGTGCCATTCTAACCTATACAGTGGTATTCTGGTCTGTATAGTGCTACTTTTCTAACCTTTATAGTGCTATTCTAGCCTATATAGTGTAGCCTATGTAGTGCTCTCTCAGCCTGCATAGCGCTCTTCTTACCTGTAAAATATAGCCTGTATAGTGTTATTCTAGCCTATACAGTGCTCTCACTAACCTAAATAGTGTAGCCTATATAGTGCTATTTTGGGCTGTATAGTGCTGTTCTAGCCTATATAGTGCTATTTTGGGCTATATAGTGCTATTTTGGGCTATATAGTGCTGTTCTAGCCTATATAGTGCTATACCAAGTTGTATAATGCTGTACATCAGTATGCTCTTTATGTTGTATTTGTGCTGTAATAATGCGGAAATAAACTCTGTATTTGTACCAATGTTAAACAAATGCCTTTATTTTGTTTATTTTAGTGTATTTGTAATTAAATTATGTGATACAGTAACATTCATGTCCATATTTTAACAATTTGTTTAGAAAGTGTGAGTTTGTAGTTTCTTATTCCTTTAACTGGTCCATAACTTCTCTCAATCTGTCTCGAGAATTACTTGAATACCAGTGCACCAATTAACTTCCTAATATTGGTGTTAACAGTTAACACATGCCTTATTCTTTTCAAAATTGCCACCACTTCAACATGGCAGATATTATTTTTTCATGTCAAACATAAGTAATTGATATTATGAAAGGTAGAATTAAAAGGTATCTTGTTGATAGATATTCTGGGTTTTTAAGTCGAGTGTACAAATACTGAGAATGCAGGATTTCCAGTTAATTTTGAGATCTCAAAAACATGGCTTCATGCATCAGAAATTAATCGAATGTCAGCTGTCATTTGCAATTATCATCTCTCTAACTAGCCCCCCTCCCGATTGTTGATGATTGGACACCATCCATAACCTCTACATTTCAACACTACAACACAGTACAATACAATAGCCTATATCTATCTATAAGAGTAAAGGAGGTGGATCACATTTGATAAAGTATTCACACAGTAATCATAAAGTTTTCAAACTGAGACAATAGCCCTTATGAAGTACCATAATGTATTGTTACATATCAGAGGTACATGTTGTGACCTTGCCACTACCACTTTAGAGATAGCACATATCTGTTAACCATTTAAACGTGGCATAACTCAAAGCAGGTCATAGCCATCTTTTGCCAAGAGGTGGAGGTGGTTCCATTTTTTTTAAAATCTAGGGGTTTCCAAGTTGACAATTTTTGCTCAAAATCACTAAAAAGTGCTCAGAATGGTGAAAACTGCATGATTTTGAAAATTGAAAAATTTTGGGCCAGGAGTTCACTTGCTGCAGGAGGCCTGCAGGTCAGGTAGCTCTACCCTTTGAAGAAGTGATCAACCTGGTCTTGATGTACCCTGAATTTGCAATAAATCTCTCATCATATTATCATATTTGCTATATATGGGCATATAATCAAGCACCTCAGAGACCTCAAAAATACCCCCCCCCCCATTTCAACAATTGCAAAACATGATTTGTCAAGTTTCATGAAGTTCACTATATAACAAGATGAAATCTATTACAAAAGAAACTTTGAACACAATTGTAAAGGTCCTGGTCAATGTCATATGTTGAACCATTTCTCTCTTAGTATTACGGGAGTAGAGTGGGGGAGGGGGATTGATTAGTGTTGTCATCAAAGGGTTAAGAAATTCCCACATCTTTTAATTCTTTATCTTTTAAAACAATTATCAATGGGTCTAGTGAGGGCTAAAAAATGGATCAATTTTAGATCATTTCTAAAATCTATCCAAAGGCAATTTCTGTATTTTAAGGTCTTGGGACTTTTGAAATATGTGAACACTCAACATGAATTCTGGCATCTCTGTCAAAAACAAGAACTTTACAAGAACAATAATTTAGACTCAACTTTGAAGACTTTGTTGGATGGTTAAAGTGACATACGGTATCTGATTCTATCTACAAATCTACTAGTCTTCATCTTTAGTTTTCACATGGGACTATGTATTTCATTGTGTTTGGGTGAAGTTAACTAAAACAACATATGTCAAATGTGGCCAAGTCTATTCAGCATACTAGTATAGTGATATTCTTAAGCCTGTAGTATAAACGAATTGTTCCATGGTCCTGTGATTTTGGATTGTCATAATGATTCCTTTGAATCAATGGGGAATTTTAGATGCCTTTACCCATATCTATCATGTAACAATAACATAAATTGGATTTGTTTTTCATTTTATTTTTTATAATTCACAGTACTATTACATTCACAATGTACACTGTATCTACAAAATGATTGGTATAATGGCATAGATAAAATCCCAACTTCACTTTGACTAATATGGCCTTCGAGCACAACATATAATTCATAATTTTATAAAACTTGATACTTTTTATCTTTGAGTTTTCTACAACAATATGAATAGTAAACAGTTGGTGGTACATCAATCATTATAAGTCAAATATCCACTGTGTGTTTATTATAATTTGATTAATTGCAAACTTGCAGAGAGTCCATGTGTCAAACAACCCCATTTACTTTTTATTGAAGCATGCACAAATCTAAGAGACTAAGACTCAATGAGAGGGCTCACCAAGTGATCCAAAAACCAGTGATGGTTGAATACACTAGTATGACACTTTAAATATTGGATACAAGACTAAATATTGTAGTACAGTTACTGTAAAACTAGTCTCATTTAAACACTGCTGGGGCTTGCCAAAATTGGGTTCGCATTTCAAGGTACATGTAATTTATGGCAATTTAAAAAGTATGGGACAAGAAAACAGTTCATACTGAGAGGTGTTTAGTTTAGAGAGGAGTTCAGATATACAGGTTTAACTGTATTACACTGCATCTTTTCACATTCTGCTATAGTATTTCATATCAATGCTTTTCCAAGGCCTTAGAGAGAAGGTCATTCAAGCGTCCTACAATTGTTCTTGGGTCCATAATCAGCCCAGCAGATATCATAGCATTGTCGTAGATCTGGAAATAAATGGGAAAAACACTCAGAATTCATCATCTTAAAAGTCAAACAAACAAATTGTTTGAATTATAACGTTTTGCAATGAACACTGCATCTGACCAATTAAATAAATTACAGAGATCAACTGACCATGAGCATTATGGGAAGGCATAGCCTTGTGTGGAATTCCACCAATCAGATTGCTTTTAAAGCTATGAACATCTAAATGGAGATTGTTCATCTTATCCTTAATTTGGGGGACATTAAACTTATTGAGAAATCACTGTAAAATGCATCAATTAAACAAATCCTCGACAATTTATAAATTTTCATAGCCTTATAAGGAGGAAAACATGTACACGATACAAGAATATGTCACCTCAAATCATGAGTGAGATGTGTGATCAAATTGTAAGACTGATAAAGACTACTCGGCCTTTAACACAATTAATTTATGATCTTATGAAAAACAAGGAAATAAACAAATATTTTAATCTATGATATCAGAAAAAACTTAATTTGTTCAAAATCTGAAAATCGAAAATAGGGAAGTCAGAGAAAACAGAATGAATTTTGCCTTTATTATAAAACTATATATTTTACATATACATGTACAAGAGTGGAGATGAGAAAACATGATATTTTTGAACTGGGTTCAGATAAGTTAGATAAGGAATTAAGTTAAAACAATATATTTAAAGAGATAACAAAGAACAGAGATGAGTTAAATGGTAACCTTTTGAAATTTTTTTTTACCTGGGGTTCACAACTAAAGCAAAAGACATGTCATTGCCACAGTATTTCCCCAATTTGACATATTGGCATTCAGATTGCCCAATTTAAGCATCCAGTTTTTCCAAGTGCATTGCCCAATTTAAGCATCCAGTTTTTCAAGTCCATTGCCCAATTTAAGGAACCAGTTTTTCAAGTCCATTGCCCAATTTAAGCATCCAGTTTTTCAAGTCCATTGCCCAATTTAAGCCTCCAGTTTTTCAAGTCCATTGCCCAATTTAAGAAACCAGTTTTTCAAGTCCATTGCCCAATTTAAGCCTCCAGTTTTTCAAGTCCATTGCCCAATTTAAGAAACCAGTTTTTCAAATCCATTGCCAAATTTAAGAGACCAGTTTTTCAAGTCCATTGCCCAATTTAAGCACCAAGTTTTTCCAAGTCCATTGCCCAATTTAAGAAACCAGTTTTTCAAGTCCATTGCCCAATTTAAGCCTCCAGTTTTTCAAGTCCATTGCCCAATTTAAGGAACCAGTTTTTCAAATCCATTGCCAAATTTAAGAAACCAGTTTTTCAAGTCCATTGCCCAATTTAAGCACCAAGTTTTTCCAAGTCCATGGCCGTGAGTGAAAAGTGATTGCCATTGTCAGTCAGGCAAATGGGAGTGTCAAACCTGTTTTTGGCTCAAACCATTTCTTGTCATATCTTAGATCTTTTTAAATATTTAATTTGAAATTCTGATCATTGTTTTAAAAGACACCTTCCTAAATTTTGTAAATTTCCTTCTTTGTTGCCCCTTTAAGGTACTCTAGTGACACTGTGTCTTAAGGTCACATTCTTCTCATAAGTTCTCACACATTGTTTTATAAGTGTACAATTGTAATGCATTTAAAATAGCCTCACAGTGTCATGTAAAGTCTGTAATCAGGCACTTTTCTCATATCTTAATAAACATTTTAGTAAAACATATATTTTTCTACATAACGATTCATAATGGTTGTGTGAATAGATTTTGCTTCCAGAAGACACATTTTATTCTTACTTTAATTAGGTATTTCTTAAATAGAATATACTGGGGGATTAAATCCAAGTGCTTGAAGGAAGCCTAAAACACCACTCACCTGTTCTGCTACTAGTTTGGCCAACTGTGGATTGCTGTCTCTGATACTGTTAAGTTTCACAACAATTGGGTGACTGCAAAACATCAATTTTGTATTTTTCATTCATTTTATTGTTAAAACTTCAGGCAAATCATGCTAGTTTTCGGTGGCTAAGCTATTTACATTGTAAGCAGTTAATGAATCAGAATCACACATCCCTGCAGGGTGGAAAAAATTAAAATTAAAAGGGATCAATAGAGGGAAGACTTGTGTTGTGTCATTGTGTGATACATAAGGTTTCTATTGATGAAATTCTAAACATTAGATAAAGCCCTAGAAGGAAACAATACAAAAATACAGATATCACATATTTGTTTATTGTTTATATCATGTTATTACTTTTTTTGTTTACCACAAAAACTTGAATAAACCAAGTCATCTTAGATCATCATCTTTTCATGTTACTTTACAAGATGAAACTTAAATTCAAAGTAAATCAATCCTGGTAAGACTGAATTCTTAAATATGTCAAACATACGTATACATATATATAACAAATACAGACTTATATAAACAGTAAACCAATGACACTCATAGTTGTATTGCATTGAGATAAGTAGTGATTTGTTTCGAAAGAGTCATGTGAACAGATATGAAAAACACTTCAGATAACAATGGATCTTATCACTGCCAATAGGTGGCAGTGTTGTTTGGCATAAACAAATGGCAAACTCATGTGAAAAGAAAACACTAAATTAATTTGATTAATGATTAATCAATATTTACTGTAGCAGATAGAGTTAAAGTATTAACAGACTGCTAGTCCGTGTTATTGATATTCTATTTAAGAGCTTTTATGTGGATATTGGGAATCATTGATTTTTACGATGAAACACTGTATTGGTATGGGCTATGAATATAGAACCATCATAATGTACTAATGTAGCCGGGATGCTCATATAGATATATGTATTGATTGATTTTCAACATGCATTTGGGATATGGAAATTAAATACTAATGTGCTATCAATCGTCAGGTTTAGGGTAATTAAAATTGATTTAAGTGTCAGAACAAAGGATTTACTCCCTCCATATGTATCAAACGAGTAAGTTTTCCAAAATGTTTTGTTCAGGTTAACTTTAGGAACAAATCCCCAATTTCAGAAAATGAAATAAATAGATTTTACAGTTCATGTGAAAATTTACAGACTGCCACTTTAATACTATTTATGAAACCATCTTCTAAAATTGTCTTCAAATGAAAAATCTTAATATTAAACATAAGCACTTAAAATAATGCATTCTGTTTATATTGAACATATCAAGTTAACTAATTTTACACTAAAACAGCATACCAAATAAAACAATTTCATGCGGTTCAAAAATTTGTGAATTTGATTTTTTATAGATGACATATTTTTCTCAAGTTTTCTTCTTGTAAAGAGTAATCATACCTTGGGTTAATTTCCAATGTTGGGTTTAAAACTCGATATTTCTCCTCGTCACTTTTATCATGAAGCTGAGTACGCAAGAAGTGACGCATCATACCTAGTTCTTGTACCGTCACTATACAGGGGGTCGATGTCAAGGCATTGGTCACCTGGAATATTTAAAGAGCGGCAATCGTTAATTCAATATTTTGAATCATGAAACTTTCAACCTGTAAAATATATTTTTTATTTAAGTTCCAGCAAAATATCAATTTTTTCATTAAATCAACTAATCAACAGATCCTAATTTGGCAATCAGTACAAGTACAATAGATAAGGAGGATAATGTATCCCAGCATACCTTGACCTTGTTGACCCGTGTACCCAGTGTCAGCTTCAACCAAGCACCCAATGAGTCTGCATCAGTCTGGGATATTGAGCCCTCATCTGAAAAATAATTGTGTAATTCAGACAATAATATCAATAGTCCATGGAAGCTAATTGTTTAGAAATGTATTTTGGTAGTTAATTTCATGTAAATTATCATAAAGAAATTTGGAAACAAATGAAATAGGTTGCCACATCTGCATTATTATGTAGACAAGAATCCCAGAGAGACAGTAAAATCTGGTTCTATAGCTTTGTTTTCATATGAAGCATCATTTTCAACAGATTTTACCCATAATGCAATCTGGCAATTATATAAACAGACGACACCAGCTTAAACTTTGCTACATTAACTTAGTTTTTAGATGTAGCGTAATTTTCAACAGATCTTACCCATAATGCAATTCAGCAAGTTGCAGACGACACTTACCAGATTCATCAACTTTGGCATCTTCTTGTGCTTCTGCTACGACTTCATTCTCAACTGATCGGATATTTTTCTTGGCATACTGCGATAAATTCATAAGCACCATTTCATCGTAAGGCTCAAAACAGAACAAAACCTCAATGTCTTTCTTTTTCAGCGCTTCCATATATGGAGATGCCTCTGCCAGTGCTCGGCTAAAATATAAAGGTACGAAATCAATAGAAGGATACTGTAACAGATTCCAAATATCCACCCACATCCAATGGTTTTTTTTAAGAAATATAGACCAAAAAGCTGGGGTTATGCAATCTGGCAATTTTATAAGCAGATGACACTTACCAACTTAAAATCTGCTACATTAACTTAAGTTTTCAGATGGAGCGTAATTTTCAACAGATCTTACCCATAATGCAATTTAGCAAGTTGCAGACGACACTTACCAGATTCAATAGAATAAGGATACTGTAACAGATTCCAAATATCCACCCACATCCAATGTTTCTCTTTGAAATATAGACCCACTTCAATTCTTTCAAAAAAAGACCAAGTTCTACGGATTTTTCAGTTAAAAAGTGACCCACTTTAGGTGCAAGTCCCATGCAGCCAATAAATGGGAGTTAATAGCTTTAAGTATTTTCTTATGTAATTGTACCTTGGCGCATGGAGGTAGAAAATGTTCCTGCCTCCAGCCTCCATTCTCTCAATGTAGTCATCAAAGCTGGTACGTTCATTAGATGGCATCTTAGAAGACTCAAATCTCAATAGTTTGGCAATTTCCTCCTGTAAGAAAACATGTCTCAATATGAGTTTGAATGCAAGAAAAGTTTAAATCAAGAAATGGTTTCAACTCACTTATGAAAATCAATTCTATATAAAGTGACCACTAAGAAAGTCAACTCAATATGAAAATAAACTCAATATAGAACAGCCACTGAGACTATAAATTCAATATAAAGCGACCATTGATAATATCAACTCAATAACTTACTCTGGCTGATTGTTCAGGTTCAGACACAATCCCCTCTCTAAAGTAGAGACCATAGTCCTCATAGAACTCTAGGTAGCTGGCAGGATCCTTTTTACTTTTTTCCAGGAAGAAGCGAATAAGTCTGGATGTCAATACATTCCGTAACTTCCTGAAAGTGATTCATTTTTATTACATCTTATCTGGAATCTCAGCATTCTGATTGGTTGATGTAGTAACATGTGATCAAGAATACAACAATATATCACACATCCTTCAATTTTTGAATTTATACCTGCTTGTCAATTCTGATGCGATTAGGCGAAAATGCATTAATGTAATAAAACATAAAATAACACAAGGCAAACATGCAAAATGTCAACATCTGCCATTTGTAAAATTTGCCTCTAAAGAGCAATGGACACCACAAAGCATGAGTTTAACTTCTAAAGACCTTACCTAATAAGATAACTTTAAAAGGTCCTTAGCAAATAAGATAACTTATAAAGGTCTTCCCTAATAAGAACACTTTAAAAGGCCTTCCCTAATAAGAACATTTTAAAAGGCCTTACCTAATAAGAACATTTTAAAAGGCCTTACCTGATAAGAACACTTTAAACGGCCTTACCTAATAAGAACACATTAAAAGGCCTTACCTAATAAGATAACTTTAAAAGGCCTTACCTAATAAGATAACTTTTAAGGCCTTCCCTAATAAGAACACTTTAAAAGGCCTTCCCTAATAAGAACACTTTAAAAGATCTTACCTAATAAGATAACTTTAAAAGGCTTTACCTAATAAGAACACTTTATAAAAAGGCCATACCTAATAAGATAACTTTAAAAGGCCTTACCTCATAAGAACACTTTAAAAGGCCTTCCCTAATAAGATAACTTTAAAAGGCCTTACCTAATAAGAACACATTAAAAGACATTACCTAATAAGATAACTTCTAAAGGCCTTACCTAATAAGAACACTTTAAAAGGCCTTACCTAATAAGAACACTTTAAAAGGCCTTACCTAATAAGAACACTTTAAAAGGCCTTACCTAATAAGATGGCTGTCCTGTAGAAGTTCTCTACTCAAGTTCAATGGGATATCTTCACTGTCAACAACACCTGTAATTACAACAAAGAATCAAGCATTAGAGCACCTGAGAAAGATTTTCACTTGCCAAACCAAATGAGCCTCAAAAAGTTTCGTTTAACAGTACAGGGTGGGCCATATAAATGTTTCCAATCTGAGCTGGCAAAAAGATTATAAGGGTAACATTTTAGCCCAACCTGTACAATCCATCAGATTTAATTATTCAAAATACAGGAAATATTGATACAGAGTTAAATAAACACTTATAATTATGTGATAAAAATAGGATTTTCTTGCAATAACCAATCAAATACAGGGTGGGCATTAAGTCATATACAGGGTGACCACTTACCTTTGACAAACCTCAGCCATGCAGGTAGAATGCGACTTGATTTGTTCATAATCATAACTTTGCGAGAATACAGGGTGACTCCAGATTCTCTGTCCTGACTCATGTCAAACAAAGCTACAATGAAAAATGCACAATGTAAGGTCTTGGAATAAAACTGTACTGAAAGAAAGAGCATTAAATGTTCTATAGCAATTCAAATAACATTTTAAATTCCAAAAATGTTGCCAATCAGACTAAAACACATAAGTAATTTCAAAACACTAAAATTACTTGACATTAAAAATATTTGAAAAAATCATACTTTAACATAAACAATTCAATGTCCTTACTTGGTTTATACTGGGGCACATAAAAGAGGGCTCTGATGTTCAATGGGGCATCAGTTTTGTAATGTAACGTATATCGTGGCTTATCATAAGCATTTGAGATGAATCTGAAAAACTCTTCATGCATGTCTTCAGTGACATCTTTAGGTTCTAAAGTCCACAAGGCTTGGATAACATTTGCTTTCTTTCCATTTACGTAAATTGGAACTCCGACAAAATTGCTGTATTTCTTGATGATATCTGGAAGGTAAAAGAAACAACATTTGAAATATTATGATTGTGATGAAATGCCTATTTTAAATATGCATTGTCATTGAGTGGGGACATACCTCCTAACATATTTACACTGGGAGACAGACCCAATGGGGGAAGGGTTCAGTTTATTTAAATTATTCCAGGGGGTTTAAATTTTACAATTTTTGCAAAAGATCACTAGAAATGCTGGAAATGGTGAAAACTGCATGTTTTTGCAAATACACAGACGTATTGAGCTTAGGGAACTTTATACACGTTGCTTATATTGTATCGTTCACGCACGTCTGTCATGGTGAACGGAGTTGATTTGTGTTTGTGCTCATCCTCCATTTTTTCGTCTGCGCAGTGATGATGCGCAGACGTTTCCAAGGGTAATAGAAGTTGCAATTGTGACGTCAGCGGGCAATAGTTCAAATAAATATTCCCGCTGACGTCACATTTGAGGAAATATAACTTTCCAAGGGAAATAGTAAATCTATTTCGGAACACGTGACTAGGTATTGACCAATCATGATTAGTGTTACATATTGGGTATATAATAATATCACATATTTACATAACATATTCAGGAGACCCACTAGAACATGAAAGAACAGGAAAAATTATTGAAACTATATTGTTACCATGGAAACAGTGGCAAATTTTTTCAAAACCAATAGGCGATTTGGTAAAACCAACCAATGAAATGCCTGTTGCCTGCTGCTAAACAAAACCTCTGATTATCTATTGAAACTTCTGATCTAAGAAGTCAAATGTTGTACCTTTAATGACATCCTCCTTGGCAAAGTCGTAGCTGTCTCCTTTCAGATGTACCACGATCTTTGTTCCTCTTTGTACACCCTCTGCTTCTGATATCTCATATGTACCAGTCCTAAATACAAACAAGACATAAATGTATAGATATCACACTTTTTACTTAAAAATCCACCTAATCAGGTCTTGGCACAACAAATTCTCTTAGTTCAATAATTGAAATAGTTTTAAAAGAGAGTATCACATACCACATATCATGTACTATTACATTGTTTTGTAAAAGAGGGGGCGCAATTATTTTTGACACCCTGTATATTTAAGAATACCCTCTGATATGGTGCCGTTTGTTTCTCGTTATGCTGTATATTTTTACTTACCCATCAGATGTCCATTTATGGGCAGGTTCATTAGCATCATGTGACTGAGAGTACACATCGACCTTTTCCCCGACCATAAATGTTGAGTAAAAGCCGACTCCAAACTGACCAATCAGATTGCTGGAAACATCTGGTTTATCTTTCAATTCTTCAAGAAACTCCTGGAAAAATGAAACAGTTCCATGAAATATATAATGTCACCTGAAATGTCTGTAACTAAATTTTCTCATTAAAACATTTTGTTAGCTACTAACAAAACATTGAAATATTGTAACATTTGCTCACAAAACAATGTAATAGTGTACCTTTGATTACAAAACATTGAAATATTGTACCTTTGATTACAAAACATTGAAATATTGTACCTTTGATTACAAAACATTGAACCATTGTACCTTTGATTACAAAACATTGAAATATTGTACCTTTGATTACAAAACATTGAAATATTGTACCTTTGATTACAAAACATTGAAATATTGTACCTTTGATTACAAAACATTGAAATATTGTACCTTTGATTACAAAACATTGAAATATTGTACCTTTGATTACAAAACATTGAAATATTGTACCTTTGCTCTCAAAACATTGAAATATTGTACCTTTGATTACAAAACATTGAAATATTGTACCTTTGATTACAAAACATTGAACTATTGTACCTTTGATTACAAAACATTGAAATATTGTACCTTTGATTACAAAACATTGAAATATTGTACCTTTGATTACAAAACATTGAAATATTGTACCTTTGATTACAAAACATTGAACTATTGTACCTTTGATTACAAAACATTGAAATATTGTACCTTTGATTACAAAACATTGAAATATTGTACCTTTGATTACAAAACATTGAAATATTGTACCTTTGCTCTCAAAACATTGAAATATTGTACCTTTGCTCACAAAACATAGACATATTGTAATTTGCACAAAAAAGCATTGTAACATTGTACCTTTGATCCTGACTTGGCAATTATTCCAAGGTTTGCCAACATTTCTGTTTTGTTCATCCCTATGCCAGTATCCTGGAACACAAGACAAAAGAAGGAGATAGTACATAATCAGGGTGAAGAGTTTAAGGCTTTTTTTAAATAATAAACACTATTTCAGTTGTTGCTTAAAGACATGTTCGGATAATAATATTTAGGTATCTTACTTAAAATAAAAAGTTAAATTTAAATGGCCACTTCATTAAAATTCAATACTTTACCATGTTTCTCTTTCAAAAATGCTCAACGCGACACCTTTCTTTTCATGCGTGAATATCAAAAGTGAATTCTCAAATGCATTTTTTGATTATTTATGACATAACCATGTTCTTGTTATGTTTGTTTTAAAATCATATCATGTTTTTAAGATATTTTAAATTTAGACATATATCTCATAGTATGTCGAAAGTTAAAAAAAAAATTTTTAAATCTCAAACTTGCCCACACACCTGAATTGTAAAGGTTTTCTTGCTGTCATCAACTCCAATGTGAATCTCAAGTGGAACGTCCTTATCAGCTACATCTGGAGTCGTCATAGCCTGGTAGCGTAACTTCTCCAAGGCATCGCTACAGTTGGAGATCAGTTCTCTGATAAACACCTGGAGAATAAAGAACATGGAAATAAACACCTGGAGAGTAAAGAACATGGAAATAAACACCTGGAGAGTAAATAACATAGAAATAAACACCTGGAGAGTAAAGAACATGGAAATAATCACAGAGAGAGTAGATAAAATCATCTGGAAAATGAACATAAGACTTATAATCTTCCTACCTCAAACAGCACTATGCAGCGCTGTTAATGAAACAGTGCTGTGTAAAGTTGTAACCAAAAAGCACTGTACTATAATGTTTAAAACAACGGTGTAAAGCATCAACACTAAACAATGTGATGCACAAACTGCACTGTTCAGTACTCACCCTATGCAGACAGAGCCTGTGGGAAATATTGGGTGTGGCGCAAATGAGCGGAGGGTGCGGTACGTTTATGGAGCTCCTCCGCACCCAATATTTAGAGGGGGCTCATATTTGAAAAACATTTCCGAATTTTTATAAAATCACACAGATACTGCCTGGCTTCCAAGATGCAAAAATAATTTGTATAGATAGTGTACCTTGAACACCATTTTTTATGAATGCTGGGGACTCAGTATTAAAAGGATAATTTCAAAATATATAGGTCTGGGAAAGGTTTAAGGCACACTGCGTCGCTATAGAATGAATTGCGCTACTATTTTCACAATTGTATTGATATTTGGTGTCAAATACACATATCTTGGTATATTTGAAGTCCCAAAACGGCTTAGTTTAATTCAGAAATATCCCAAATTTAAATTCAAAAATGACCGTTAGCTCCGCACCCTCCGCTCATTTGCTCCGCACCCAATATTTCCCACAGGCTCTGTCTGCATAGGGTGGTACTGTTTATAGCAATGTATATTACAGTGCAGATGATGTTGCAAATTGGGGGTGTTACTGACCTCTTTCTCTGAGTAGAGCGACTTTGCTACAATGTCCAAGAGTTTCCTCGTCTCTGCTTGGAATTCTTGTTTCTCAGCAGCACCTGCAAGTAAAAGCAAGACATGCAGCGGCAAATATCATACTTTGAACGAGGAAAATGGCCACAAGTGTTTTACCCAGCATGCCCAAAACCAAATAAGACTTTGGCACAAGTCTGCTCTTGCATCAGCAAAAACTTCAAGTTGAAGAGATGAGTGGTTTTCCTGAACTGCAGTTGCCCTGACTATCTTGTTATTCAAGGTTAGTAAAGAGGAATCCTCAGTTAAAACAATGAACAACCTGCATTGTTCGAATTCATTACATAATTTTATGCTTGGATTGCGGGATCAATATTGTACCACCATTCCACAGTCAGACTGTACTCAAGCCAATTCAGAAAAATGTGATGATGGTAAAATAGTTGAATCCCAATAATGAATTAGAAACCAGGATTGTTGTCTAATTCTGAATTTGTATGATTCATCTGAATTTGTAGTTCATAAATATTGATGGATCTGACTGATAAATAATGAATGTTTTTTACATCAATCTATTTCCAACAGTGATGTATCACCAAATTATAACCCAATAAGCATAATATATACCCAAAATGTTACACAATATCAAAATCCACTAAACAAAATAACTCGTTGCAGATCTTACGTAATTACCTCTATAATATTCAACTTAGAAATCGCAAAATGTATTATGATTTACGATTTCATTTTCTCATATTACGTGTGTCCTATTTTAGATTACGTCAACTGCTCTGCTCTGTTAATTTACATAGCTCTAGAAAGTGTCGATTTATGTCCCTATTACCCTCAGTTCAGTAAAAGTGCACGGAGAAATATTGTTTACGACGTTAATTCTGACAAGGGAGATATTAACGATGATTGTGTCGCTAAATATGCACCAGTTCACTATCTCTCTCGATAATAATTTGTAGCGCTCATCATTACAAAGTCTATAAAATAAGGACTCACGATAAGATCAGTGGTAATAAAATGATCCACATTCTACAGTACGAGTCAAAAAGTTAGAAAATGTTTACAGAGTAAATATAATAGCTATTATAAGGGTCTTTCACTTTTCATTAACAGGGGCTTCCATAATATGGAAAATCTTGTGTATCACATACAGAAACATGATAAATAATGAAAAATAATCGACAAAATAATTTGTTTTACAGTGTTACCGTATGTGCTTTTGAAATTGAAATTCTCATTGTAACCCATTACAAAGAACACACATATATGAGAGAAGTCAAAAATCCCTGGGAATTTCATGTATAGGAATTTTTCTTGCCAAAAATGCCGTATTTGCAAGGAAAGTAACAGCCTATTTTTACAATAATGATATGTATTGTTATTGGAGAGAATACGGTAAAGATTGCTAAAATAAAGCAAGAATCGAACTATATTGACAAATTTGACAGTGATTGAAGAACTCCCCTACAGAGCTGGTAAAGGAATTGTTTTCTGCGATTATCTTCAATATTTCCACTTTAGACTGTTTCTTTTTTAATTTGATGACAGATCATAATTTTTCGTGTAAAACTCATGTAATAAAGTCGAGAAATCTTAGAAAGAAACAAGAAAGTTCACGACCTTGATGATCGCTAAATTAGTAAAAATTTCGAAATAAAACTCTGAAACGTGATAATTTCCTTCATTCATTATGGACTATTTTGAGATAATATTAGCTTAGTATGATGTGGGAAGCACCTACTGATAGATATTTATCAGGGGGATGCATCGATTTTCAAAATGTGTCAATGTAGTGCTCAAATGTTTTCTGCATTTTAGTGTAAGTACTCTTTTATCGCCCACTATATTTCTTAGGAAATTTAATTTTTCTGATATATTTGTTAATACTTGGTCTTTCTTGAACTCTGTAGAGCGGCTGGGCGCTTATTAGGGGTGGGCCCTTAATACAGTGATTACAGTAATTGTTGTATTTGGTGATCTAAAAATCTAAACATTTTGTTTTTAAAATGGTGGGTAATTTAAATATTTGAAAATCATTTTTTTCAAAAGATCTGTAAACAATTTCAAGTTGAAATATATGGATGTTGCGGTGGTTATGGAGAGGACTACCCCGTCTCGTATCCACCTGTATGTCTCTAGCAACACATGCGATTATAATGTACCACTCTCGAGAGTAACACTTGTCAGAGCTGCGTTAATATGGTATTTAACACAAATCCATTTGTTAACCTAGTTCAGAATAGTGACCCTGTTTTTCAAATGATGTTTACTATAATATCTGCTCATAAAAACAAAAGATAACAAAGATAGAATATTGATGTCCTGTTTGGACAAAATTGACCTCTAACTTCTTTACACAAAATGGAATTATCAATACTGTAGACGAATCTAGTAAAGGGGAGTAAATCAGGTCATCTATATTGCACATTCTTAGTTTCAAGGAAAAGTCAAATTATGTTGATTATTATGCAGGAGACCATTTTTGGTATGTTCAATGAACAATTAAAAATAGGACAGTTCCAAAAATGGACCCTAGCGTAACTACAAACTTGTACACATGTTGAAAGAAGTCTGGAGTAATTTACGGCATAATATTGCAACTGATGTTTCCAAGATAGCAATGCAATAGCATGTCTATGTACACTTTGCACCCATTCAGGAAATACAATTGATCAGAAAAATTAAACTTTTAGGGTTGATGTCCAATTATCAACACTGAGTTAGTTTCATTAGGGGGAGGGGGGAATGATTACTTCCTGAGTTGAGAGTGCTGATTTTGTATTTTTCTGAACAAGACACACATGATGAAAATCTCACTCTTTTTGGACACACAAACACAAAACACACACCCAGCAGCACAAGATGATGACAATATAGGACCAATAAAAATATGCCCACAAACCATAGAACAGTTATTTTAAAATGCTAGACTATGCAGGCCCGTAGCCAGGGGGGTTCGCAGGGTCCGGGTGAACCCCCCCTGGCCAAAATCTCTTTCAAAATCATGCAGTTTTTCACCATTTTGAGCACTTCTCAAGTGATTTTAGCCATATTTGGGCCAACATTGTCAAATGTGAACCCCCCCCTGGAAATTTTGGAAAACTGAACCCCCCTTGGCAAATCCTGGCTACGGGCCTGCTATAGAAGGCTATCTTAGAATCTCGAACAAACTGTATTTAATCACCCCAAGTCCCCATGGAAAAGTCCTTCAACTGAAAGGCACTATAACACAGACTGACACGCCATTAGAACTCTCAGATTGCTTTAATATCGTTCTTTAGTTAACGATTTTAATGGTGATGATCAGTATATGTTTTTAAGCTGACAGTAAACCGACAATCCCATTGTGAAATTGATTTGCTAATGTAGCTAAATAATTATACAAAATATCAATCACGAAGTCTAATAATAGAAGTAGATTTTACACTAATCATACTCTAAGCATAATAATTCGAACAATTTCTCACTAAATGGATAGAAAGTAATTCCGTGGATTGTTATGACACAATGCATTACCCAGTTTGTAAGTAGTTAGTTACAAGTTTCACCACCAGGTGGCTAACTAGGAAAGACATACATACACTGTATTTTTGTATGCCCATGTTGCATAATGTTTTAATGAGGTTTATCCCCAGGTATCACTAAAAAGAACATAAAGCCCTGCCATGCTCATTGCATGCTTATGTGATTTCAACAACAAAAAGCTCATTCAAGCGCACTTACTCAAATAATTCTTTTGAAAGACATCACGGTTTATTGCAATTGAACTCCGGAGGGGTCATTCATCAAGCTATCGCAAGCACGTTGCAAGCCTGCGATGTCGCAAGGGCCCTTTTTAGCGATTAGGTCCTATTCATCAATCTCGTGCGACTGTGATCAGTAGAAAATCCTGCGACGTCGCAGTGAAATACCCCTAAAATGGCCCAAATTTAAGCGACCAGTGGTACCCAGTCGCAGTGATTTGAGTTCAAGAAAAATGTCTTAAATTAATTGAATTTTTTTATGAAATAATATAGATATTCTAGGACGTACAGTTCGATATTCGATCCATGATATATTAAAATTGCACAACATATGCATTGTGTTTAACATGTTTGTCATGCTATCAAAAACAGCTAGTTTTCGGCTTGTATTTTTACATACTTCACCGTGCGACCAGTCGCAGTGATTGTGCATTACACGTGGTTTGAACCCATGTGGCTGGACCCACTCAGTATCCATATTGTCGAATTATAGAGCGCTTGGTATCAGCCATGTTCTATAGGCTACATGTACAAGGTCTTTTGGAAGCGTTTTCGTTTCCCCAAAAGAAAACATATATCTATATTTATTTTATGCACTACCTTAGCAACAATAGATAGATACTGTAGCTACAATGTACCAGAATAGTGTCATCTTCTTTAAGTGAAACTTACAGGTTTCGTTCTATCAAAATGTGTTCCATTAATACGGTCTCGACCAGGAAATATGTCACCTAGTGGCCTGTTCCATTAGTGTGCAAAGATCTATTATGAAAGCATACGGATAATAAATAATGGATCATAGCTTTAAGCAGAAAGCTTCCAAAACCCATTGGACATTATTCAATTATTCAATTTAACATAATAATCTCATGGAGAATTCCTATGCAATCTCTCTATTGTATACAGTAAGTGATCTCCACAGGATTTTTTCTTAAGTGGGTGCAAATTTCTCATTTCCAAAATTCAGACCAAAATTGGTCAAAATATTCCCTTTTTTCATGATTTTTCTCATTTTCAAACGGGTGCAAATGGATTCTCAGGTGGGTGCAAGTAGTATTTTCAAAATCTCAGGTGGGTGCTGCGCCCACTTGCTTTAATGCTGGGGAGATGACTAATACTATATAACCTAAATATTGAAATATTGTTACAATATATATTGTTAGTACCTCAGTGTAAATACTCGCATCTGATTGGTCAATTAGCGGTCAACATTTTTGCCTGTACCTCACTTGTGCATCATGGGATATCATATTATTGACCGCGTATGTTACTGTACTACACTTGTGAATTATGGGAAATATGACGTCACAATGTTTACATTACAAAAAACATGGTAGTCCGACATTTTGTACACGTTGATGAAAGTGATATTTTGACTTTTCTACACGACGAGTATAGCAACAATACAAATAGAAACGCAAAATTAACATTAATTTACTAGTGAGTACGCAGTTATGTGCCGAAAACAGAGAGTTTAGCTTCCACTGTCTTCAGATTTTCTTAAAAATTATTGCTGGCGTGGTTCGTAGAAAAGATTGTGAAATGAAGCCATGATTGATGACTGTCGTATATATGAGTATTATTAGTTTCTTCTGACTAACAAAACAATTGTAGACCTCTCCATTCGGTCAACCGTCAAAATCATATACCTCGACTGTAAACCTTGAAACACTGTTGACCTCGACCTTCGGTCTCTGTCAACAGTAGCTTCTCGGTTTACAGTCTCGGTATACAATTTTGCCGGTTGACCTCTGGAGAGGTCAACAATTGTATATTGTATAACCTAAATCTTGATTTATTATAACATTCATGTCCTAAATATCTGATACTTGGGTCACTGTGACATGTAACATTTCCATTAATTGGCTCGTGTGCCGGATGTTTTTCACAATTATATCAAAATATGATGAAAAATATCTATGGTATCAAAAACAAGTTGTCAAACCCTGGGAATCAGATCAGTTGAAGCATGAAATTATTTGTCACCCTTTCCAGTGATTTCATCACAACCACGCTTATGATGTTGATAAAACATCCTGGATAACAAATAAAATGCCCTTGATTACAAGTAAGAATGCCCTAGATTACTAGTAAGAATACTCTAGATTACAAGTAAGATTGCCCTAGATTACAAGTAAGAATGCCCTAGATAACAAGTAAAATGCCCTGGATTACAAGTAACAATGCCCTAGATTACAAGTAACAATGCAAATGATTACAAGTAAAAATCCCCTAGATTACAAGTAAGAATGCTAGATTACAAGTAAAATGCCCTAGATTACAAGTAAAATGCCCTAGAATGCCTAGATTACAAATAAAATGTGCTGGATTACCAATGATAGCCCTCTAAGCTTGAGCAATTGGGCTCTAAAAGGGGCCAACCATCCCAGAAATTGCAATAGTTTTTAAAATTAGGCTTACATTATTTATTGGTATCAGTAAAATATATACATTGGACAAATATGAAATTTCACCTCTATCTTATATCACGGCTATGCTGATTTGATCAGATTTATATAAAACCATTATAGAATTTTTAAGTTAATTTTTACCTTTTGCTCTCTCTGTGTTGGTTATAATGCTGTGGTATTCTTCAGGCTCACTAGGGGGAGCTTCTGTATCTGTGGTGCCATCTGTTGTAGACTCAGCAGCCAATAGGTGTCTCCACTGAGTAAAATGGCGCATTTGGGACCAGGATAGGTGGCCATTTTGTGTGGAATGGACAGGCACAACTGCAAAATAAGAAATTGTCCATTTATTAGCAAACTTTGAAATGCTCTGTGGTTTAGGCACTCATCATCTTTTTGAATGACTCTGCAACTATAGAAAGAATAAATTATTTACAAATACATGTACATGTATGTCATGTCCAGAAATATTATCGGGAAAATTAAAATTTTTAAAAAACAAACATGGCAGACAGTGTGAATTGAAAGAATAAGTCAATGCCAAAATAGCCCCCATGACGAAGTTCGATGCATTACTCTTATCCACATATAAAACAAAGCAACAAACTATTTCTGCTTTCCGTAGGAGTTTAGTAACAAGAGTGACGGATTCCCTGATGATTTATAATTCTTATTATAGAATCTTAACAGACGAGGACAAGCACCACAAAAACAAAGAGCAACTTAACCATGTAATCCCAGCTTATTCTCAAGTTTCTAAGCAAGACATAATGGCCGATAATGTCATATTTAGTCTGAAATTATGGCAATGTAGACCTTTAACGATAGCCTACTCTCTGAGAGTTCCTAGAATAACATCAATGTTAAAGTTTGGGCGTCTAAAATTCAACCGTTCTGTGTTTATTTTATAATTTGTTCTTTTGATTTTTAATGAGATCTGGCAATAGTTTTGAAAAAAGGATGTCTCCTCTTGTCTAATGTGAACACCAATTGGACCTGCAAAAAATATTCAGTTTATCAGGTATTCTCATTTCAAGGCTTTTAATATGTGAGTCAATGGCAGGTAACAAATTTGGGACTGAGAAAAAGTGTTCACATTGAGAGGTGTTCAGATTAGATGGGTGTTCATATATACAAGTTTGACTTCGTTCACTGATATCCTTTAGTGCGAGGGATTACAGGAAAACAAGAGAATATATTCTGCTTACAACACTTAGTATAGAACAGCTGTAGTGTAATTGTAACACTAGAGAAAATTAATAATACGTAGACTGAGAGCTATACCAGTTGATGTCTATTTAACAAATTGATATTCATACGTGTATCTCAGGATCCTTTACCAGAGCTGCACTTTCATATCTCACTCTTTAATTAAAGATGAATCTGATCTAAGCCTGCCAAAGCAACCAGAATATCAACATCAGATATCACTTTGAACACTAGATTTTCTGCCTTTAATTTCCTAAAATTTATTTCAGTCCAAAACTCCATATATTTGGGATTATTTGGATCTTAATACCATCAAAACTGCAAAATCGCATGTTGTAGTAAGAGGGGAATATTACTATATGATGATTCAGAGTGTTTCTATCAGATAGGGCCCTAACAATACTGAAAATCAAGGCCATCACATAACATTGCTTCATCACGGGTATTAACAAAACCTCATGATACTGTGAGCTAGCTCAGTGGTATCATGGCAAAGGCAAGGCGCTATATGTACAGTAAAACCCTATCTTAATGAACACCTCTATCTAATGAACACCTGTCTCTATTGGACACCCTTCATCCGCACATACTCTACTGACTTCTGTATAAATTACACTCTCTGTAGTGGATACCTACCAACACTGAATGTTTTTCTTGGCAAAAAAATGTTCAACACCGAGAAACTGATACAGTAAAACCTGTCAAGTGGAACGCCTCTGTAAGAAGAACACCTCAATAAGTTGAACACTTCCAAGTCCTATAACCAATTATGAAAATTTTAAATGAGCCTCTGAAAGTGGAATACCTCTATTGGGAAAACCTTTGTTTGGATTAGCAGGTATTAAAATTCCAAGTTTTTCTAAGTTTTTTAGTGAGAGACTAAAGACTACTATGGGAGATAATAAAACCGGGACAGAGAAAAAATGTTCACATTGAGAGGTGTTCAGATTAGAGGTGTTCAGGTGTTTGGATAAACAGGTTTCAGTGTATTTAAGGAATAAAGAAAAATAATAAAACCCTGATTTGGTCGTAAGTCACTGTTTATCAAAAATAGATGGTTTTCTCTGAATTGTCAGTTATGACTGTGCCAAAAGATAACCCTAGGGTTATCAATTCTTTCTTACATATAAGGCCGGCTTTATATAAAAAAGACAAATATGGTAGCACTGTTCGGAAATTCACATATTCAATCTTTCAAAATTGGATAATGGGATGATATCATTACTTATATTCAAAAGCACATTGTCATAAACCATCCTAATGAACATCTTACTATTTCTGTCTTTTCCTTCCACAAATCATTGCCGCTTCAGTAATTCTGCAATTTTTCGTTCATTTCTATGACACTATTGAGTAAGTAATAAAATTCACATCCCATTCATTTTTTCTGCTATTTCAAATTACAAGTTCACAAGGCTGGCGCAGAATAATCGGGAATAGCAACAATAAATTTGAAACAGTGAAACCTGTACATATGAAAAACTCTCTCAGCTGAACACCTCTCTTTTCTCAGTCCAAGTTTATTTATTCCTTATAGACTCTTGAATATCTCTCAAAATGAACTCTTACGGTCTCACTTTTCTAGTTTGCCTGCCATTGATTTCCATGTTAAAAAACCTAGATATGTGATCAACTGGACACTTTGTGCCAGTTTGAAAGACATTCAGGCGAGGCAGGTTTTACTGTACATTAACAGCTTCCCTGAGATATTCAACCTACAGTAAAATTTTAAATGTTTGGAACTAATTTGAATTTAAAAAATAAGCAATCAAATTAGTATAATGTAACAGTATGAAAAAATAGAAACTTGACTACTTGTCCTAACTTTTGTTATTTCAGATAGTTTTGTATAATGTGCAGCAATGGAAGCTGGCCAATCTGAGAGGAAAAAAACATGGAAAATTTGTCGAAGAGAGAGCCTTTTTTAAATCAAAAATCAGTTTTTCTACAAATAATGGTAATTAATTGGTTAAATCAGTTGCTGAGGTCTCAGGGATAAATCACCTAAAAAGCGAATTTTATAGTTATACACCAATATTTCAGGAAATTTACTCACTTTTATAAGTCCGAGAGGAAGTATACATGGAAACTTTCAATCTTGAGAGGAAATTGACATGGAAAAAAGCTCAAAGTGGGATCTTTGGCGCGGCACATAGGTATTAAGAGGTATATTGGAGTGAACCCCCCCGGGTTCAGTGATTATCTTTTCTTGAACTTTTCTTGAAAAACCACTCACCAGTCCTTCATATTACTAAAACCAAGCCTGTTTCAACATTTTCTGCCAAAACTATTAAGTGATTTTACGGGGAATCTCTGTCATTCTAAGTATGAGAAAATCGGCAAGTTGAAAAGGTCATCAGAATGGGCTGCTCTCTTATTGGCTTTTAATTACCAGGGAAATTTGTCATTTTAAAGATTGCTTCTCTATTGATTATCGTAAATGTGATTACAATTTGGTTCTTCAAGCCTAAGATCTATCACATGATATTCAAAATGGCAGAAAACGGTCAATTGGACTCCTATATGCTCCTATAAGTCTTATATGGATCTAGAACATGGATATCACATGACCAAATAGGAAAGCTGAATTTTTGAGGGAACTTTGGGAGATCTCCCCACCCCTCTGACATATTGGTAAGTACATGTAGATACACAATTAATATCATATCACTTCCATGTGTAACAACCATGGTTGTTACTTTTTGTGATTTATGCCTCATTGTGATTTATGCTTTATTTTAATTTGAAGAGACAACAGGTATTTTAAACTTTTCATTACTTTTGAACTTGGTGCTAAAAACTTATGCCTAGTTTAGATTAGCCAATCAGAGCACTTCTCATAAAAGCGTTTAGGCACATGTGGAGAATTTACAATAGACATTTATTTTATATCGTGCTGATTAAAACGTCTACAAATGTAGGACTTAAGGTCCTAAGTTAGGATAGGATATGATTATGATAACAGTAAATAGGCTAGGACAAGATAAATCAAGTTAAATAGGGAAATGAAGTTAGTTTTAAACAGAAATAGATGTCTAGATATTCCAGCTAGTTTTACAAACTTTGAGAATTTTCAAGAACGTCATTTTTAGTTGGGATTGATTCTAATCAGATCTGTTCAATATTATGTCTCATTTAATGCGCTGAATATTGTCACTTCAAGGTAGCATTCTAATATTGCAAGATATCAGTTGAGGGTAGATATGCACAGCCATGTACCTTTATTAGTTTGAACATTTGCCAAAATGTGGTATGTTAGTGTTTATGATGTAGTAGTTTATCTTCTATGGTCAGATAGGTAGTAAGATTGACAACTGTTTTATAAGGTATTAACAGTATCTTATTTGATAAACCATCTGAAAGACCTTAGCTTCATTGTAAAAACTGATTGTACATATTTCATACCTATAGTTGGTTACATAATATATATATTTTAATACAAATCATATTTTTTATATTATTATTGAGAGCTGTATGACAGTTAGCTGTCAGTAAAGAAAATATAAAAATATAATATCAACCAGCATAGTCCCTCGTCCAGGCAATACACTACCAAATAAGTTATTAATTTAACATCTCGTAATTTTATGTAACATCAAGGGTAGGCGATTGGGACCCCTGGTTGTTACACATATTTTTCTAATTCAAAGTGCTTGTAGGCGTTGACTAGTGGCTATATCTTATGCAAGGCCAGAATACACTTGAAAGAAGGTAAGCCTGAACCACCCTTGATATATGGGTTCCTAGAGTCGTGATTGATAAATCATAAAAAATGATCCAATTTATGATTTTTTGTGATACACCAATGACCTTGATACAGATCTCCTGGTGTTGAGGTCACAACTCACATTGTTATTTATGTTTTCACTTTTTAGGGACCTGAAGACCTCTTCTTCCTACTGTTGAACTTGCAATCAAATACCCTCAAGATGCATAGAGTAAGAGTTGCATAAGATATAAGAAAACAGATAAAAATATTTATTTTATAACACTACAGGAATGTTTTACAGTAAGGAGAAAGGGGAGTACATTAATGTTTACCTCTGGGTGAATATTGTGTTTCTCTCACATCATACAACAGTCGACAGGAGGAAAACGGCCTATGATTTGGCCGTAAGATACTTTTTCTGATAAATATTCGAGAAGCCGCATTTCTCATGGAGGCTGCCATCTTGAAAATGCCTCGTTTTCGCATTTTCAATCACAAGGTGCGCCCTCTTACGGTAGCTTACTGTTAAAGTCTGCGAGGGGTGCATGGATGACGCTGGCATTGTTCCAGAGACGAAAAGTAATGTTGTATGACCCAGTTAGTGGTTCAATTATCTATAGCTCCTGAAAAATATGATGCATCTCAGTTTTCTATCACAACCCACCTCGATATCATGATTTTACAACTTTGTATCGCTAAATCCCCAGGAATAGTCTAGACAAGGAAAACGGGTCAAAGACTCAAAGTACGAGAATAAAAGAATCGTGCATCGGTATGTACTTCTGAATTCAATAAACAAACAAATCATGTTTCACACGGAAATAATTGTACTTGGTAAGTTGCAATTTCGATGATACATGTAATAGCTACATATACGTTACTCATGCACTAGTCATTTCTACATCCGGAAATAGTAGGACATATGGACTCGTCCAATTAAACTCTATAAAAGTCAGTAGAACCTCCAAATTAAACGATAAATATAGCATATTTGTAGCACAAACAAATCAATTTAATACAATTGTGCAAATTAAGTTATACAAATGCAAAATATTCATTTTAAGGAAATTGCAATTACTGGAATCAATGTAATATCTCTTTCTCTTTTGAGCCAACACCCCTCTCGGGGAAATGAATTAATCCAATTTACAATCTGAGAGCTCGGGACGAGAGTTTCAAGATCATCGCTATTTCTAAACATTGATGGAAATTTGAGGTAAATAGACAATAGAGACATCTGAATTGATAGCAGTGACTTGAATTTATAGTGTAATACAAGAACAATTATCCTTGAACTTTCTTACGGACCAAGAAATCCAAAATCTTCAAAAAAGTTCACTCGGTGCAAAAATTGGCCATTGTTTTGAAAAAGCAAAAGTTTAAACTTTTCGACGATGAAATAGCACGTATTTTGGAACTACTGGACTACTCCGACCGCCAAAGTGCATCTGCAGGGTGAAATGGGGGATATCACCTCCCCCAATCGTGAGATAGAACGACTGAAGAGACGATTCGATTTATACAGAGGTTCTCACTTGGACAGGGCAAATCAGTATGAACCTGCAGCTGATAGACTAAATGAACACAATCGTCAAGAAACAAAGATCCTTCAACAAAAATATTTAGAGAGCAGAGCAAAGAAAGCCTCAAAGAGACAACCAAAGGACTCGAGCAATGGCTCAGATAGCAAAAGCTCCGTAGTGACAGTAAGTAGTCTTTCTCAATATGACAACAACAGTCGAAATTGAATATAGGTCAAGTGTAATTTGAATGATTAAATATTTTGTTAACACCTGTTAATGGGGATATTACCATGTTAACAGTAGTCTACCTAAAGTTTCAGGTTCAATACTATTTATTAAGTCTTGTGAAGTGTGATATACATAATGAAATGACAGACATAAGTACAAATGTTACTTCAAAGTTTACATGAATGTGTTTTATATAAAAATTGATTTATTAAAATGTCATCATTTGAAAAATTGTGACATCGGCAAAAAAGAACCAGCATCGTTGAATCAAGTTTGGATAATTCAAGTTCTTCCATCGATGTTTCGTTTTCTGTTGGAACAAATACCAGTTCTAAATTAATATGTCCAGTCCTTCTTATAAGTGATTTAAACTTATCTTTTGTGTCTAAATTTATATTTTTTCATATTTGATTGATACGAAAATTGAAAAATCATTACATCATCAAAAAGAACTGGACATCATTAAAGCAAGTCTAGATTATTCCGGTTGTCACAGGTTATCTGTTTTCCATATTAACTAGATATATCCAGTTCTTATAACTCATTTAACCTTTCTTTTATTTTATATTCTTACAGTAACAGTCATAACTTAGCCATAGTATTTCCCCATATTTTACTTTCAAATAATTTAGTTATTATCTGGTTAGTTATATAATTTCTTGTTTCGTAAATATAAGTATACAGTCCTATGTCAATGTACTCCTACATGTCCTAACTCTACATATATACAAATATAGATAGGTATTTCTTGACCAGTATGACTCAAATGGATGTTTTGGAGCTATTGATATGTACTGATGATTAAGCTATATTAATATAGATCTCAAAATTAACATCTAATAGAATGTAATCTGTACATGTATGTCTTTTCTATTTTGAAGTACTTTCAATTACTTTTAAATGAAGCCATTAATCAGCATTTACGTTAGGTGTATTTCCTGTGACGTTTACGATGTGTGTATACTTTGAGAGATAATTGTTCAAAATTGCCAAATGAGGAATATAATTTTTACTGACTGTATTATGTATAATATATACAAGTAATAAGTAGCCATAATTATATCTACCTTACAGCGAGATTGTGTAAGAGGTATTATTGATATCTGATGATAATTTAAAAATGAACAAAACATTGGTATTCTTGAAAAGTTAAATTCTTCAAAATTTTACCAGTTGTAAGTTAAGCGTTAAAGTGAAAAGAGACTATTTCCAAGAGATGCTTATTCCCTAGATCTTACCTATATATTCCATTCTGATTTATTCATCTTGCTATATGTTTGTGAGACTTCTCTCTTGTATACTAATATCAGTGATCTCCCCAGCATTAAAGCAAGTGGGCGCAGCATCTACCTGAGATTTAGAAAATAGGCTTGCACCAACCTGAAAATCCATTTACACCCACTTGAAAATGAGAAAAATCATTAAAAATTGGCATATTTTGACCAATTTTGGTCTGAATTGTGAAATAAGAATTTTGCACCCTCCTGAGAAAAAAATCCTGGGGAGATCACTGAATGTACATTAGTCAAACGTTATTTAGTTAGATTATAGTATATTATATGGTATACTGCGGATGTAGAGATGTCATTGTTTTGACATCAGAACAAGAGATTTGGAAGATGATGGTATCACAAGCAGCATATTTTTGCATTCTTAGAAAATATAAATGATAAGGAATGGTATGACACAAAATATTTTTAGTAAACACATTTTTGGGATTCTTCATTCCGATTCTGCCTTTCGCTCAATTATGAAATACAAATCTGAACCTGTAGATAAAATCAGATTGTATCTTTTATATTAAAATTAATATTTTAAAGAATTGTAGGAGAATATCAAAGAAATAATGTTTTACTACATGTAAATTGATTTCATTTCTTACTGTCCTGTAGCATGTATTTCTAAAAGTATATATCCACATAAAGAAAGATATCTTAGCAACTGCGTGGGAATTTCATCAATTTTGAAACTATTTTGTCTACAAAGATCGTCAAGTGGTGTTGACAATTGGCACAATATCAAGGCATGTAACGTTCACTATATATAGATGTATTTGTATACATATCTCGTACTTGAAACAAGATAAACTTACATGTATATCATACATTATGTGCTGTTTGAGAAGTGCTTATGTCACAAGAATCTACATATCGTTAGTAGTATTTTAAACAGAGTTAAAAGATGACTGCTCATATAGATCAAACTCAGATAATTGGTTCCCAATTCTTTAATTATAGATATATGCTCTTTCTTTATAAATTAATAATTAATAGAATCAACATGTTAGCCTTAAGACAATATATCCTGAATCCCAGTTACATTCCCATACACATTTTCTCTGACTGTTATTTCACAGTTTTGATGCTTATACGATCTCATTAGTCTCAATTATAGCTTTTACTGCAATTTTTGGTGATCTCCCTTGATTAAAAGAAAGTGGGCGTACCAACCACTTGGGCTTTTAAAAACAGACTTGCACCCACCTGAAAATCTATTTGCACCCACTAAATGAGAAAAACCATGAAAAATTGGAATATTTTTCCCAATTTCAGTCTGAATTCTCAGATAGCATACGGGGATCCAGGGTACACTCGTAAGATTGGTGTTAATGATCGTAGATTTAATAGATATAACATATGTTATAAATAAAATAGCTAGAAAAACAAAAATAGTACATGTAACTTAAAAAAAATGTGAGTTTATTACGTAAATGAATATAATATGATTTTTTATGATTCTTAATTTCTCTGCATTTACTTGTCTAAGGAACATCTTTCATGAATATTAATACCTATTTCACGAACATCTATTCTTTTCCATGCAGTATAACAAAGAGGCTGTCTATGAGAGGGATACAAAAACCAAGTATTAAATTAAACCAATGAATCCAGGAAGCCTCTGGTGACAGTTTCTATAATATGAGTCCCTAGTTACAGTTTCTATCTGAGTCTCTAGTTACAGTTTCTATATGAGTCCCTAGTTACAGTTTCTATAATATGAGTCTCTTTACAGTTTCTATATGAGTCCCTAGTTACAGTTTCTATAATATGAGTCTCTTCACAGTTTTTATATGAGTCCCTAGTTACAGTTTCTACGTGAGTCTCTAGTTACAGTTTCTATATGAGTCCCTAGTTACAGTTTCTACCTGAGTCTCTAGTTACAGTTATAGTTTGTATAATTACAGATGTACATATTATCTTGATATGAAATTTTAGCCATTGGGCATATATGTAAACATTTTTAAACAAAACAGTTATATCAGATGTTGTTATTATATTGCAGATAGCTTAAAGTAAATTTAATTAGATAATTTTTGTTTCACGACTACATAACCTGTTTGCACAAACTACTTTCAAACCTTAGCTCCACATGAGTTTTTTTTCTCAAGTGGGTGCAAAATTCTCATTTTCACAATTCAGACCAAAATTGGTCAATGCAAGCCCATTTTTCATGATTTTTCTCATTTTTAAGTGGGTGCAAATGGATTTTCAGGTGGGTGCAAGCATATTTCCAAATGTCAGGTGGGTGCTGCGCCCACTTGCTTTAATGCTTGGAGATCACTGGACTCTGTAAAACAAAATGCTCAATCCCCATGTATATCACTTATAATGATATGTCAACATACATAAAAACAGTCAGTCTGCTTTACTGTGCATTACCCTTTGGTGTACACCACTTACGTAAATAAATACACCTCTTCGGATTAAACTTGCTCAGTCATCAATGAGATTTTTCTTTTGCTTAGCCATGGCTATTTCAATACAAGTTAAACTTTGAATATTAGCATGTTTTTTGGTGTTCCCTGATTGGTTAAATATCAAATTTGACTAAACTAGAATGGTCAGTCGTAATAAGAGGTTAATACACTAGAAGTTGAGCCCAGGGTGCTGTGGTATATTGCTAGATCCTAACATGAAATACCTAACAATTTATCAAACTTATGTAACAATCGTTACTTGGATTAGTGTTAAATGGCATATGGTTACATCTAGTGTTAATTGATCTAAAACTGTGCACTGTACTGAACATCTTTAAATCGTGTTTTATTTGTTCGTCATTGGAGACAGTTTCCAAGTGAGTTTATTTGTTGGTAGGTAGCAAGTTGTAGTTTTGCCTGGGGATATACAATGATTTATTGTGAACCAAGTAAAACTGGGATAAATTGAAGATCAGATTTCAAACCTTTGTTTATGCAAATTCTCAGTTCATGAGTCCTACAGTTGATACATTTCCGACCTCACCATTTTTGCAACCAGAAAAACAAGTCACTTATCATTTTGAGTCATATTAGTCTAATCTTGCATCAATAGAGTCTAATTTTATATCATTATAATCTGTTTTTGCATTAATATAGTCTGATTTTGCATCAATATAGTTTCAGGAGTACAGTCTGATTCTTCAATAATATAGTCTGATTTTGTACAAATATTCATATAACCTGATTCTGGTTTAATAAGACGTCTCATTTTGTGTTATGTTGTTGTAGTTTAAATTGTAGTAAACATCTAATGATAGATATCTGAGCTTAGGGAAAAACAAGGTGAAGAGAATGGGAAGTGTTTTGAAAAGTAATTTAATTATAAGTTGTTGTTTTGAGTTCAAGCCATTGGCAATATAGTCCATTGATATGTCTACTGTGTCATTGTTGGTTTCCTTCATGATAGTGCAATTTCAACATGATTTCTACTTTAATGAGTTATACATGTAGACACCTGTACAAAAGTTGAAATCTTTGACGGTTGGTTGGTTGCTTGAATGCTTGTTTAGTTGCTTGGCCATGTACTAAGAAGCTACATCATATCCTGAAGGAGAGACTTCGCAACTGGAAGCAACCCCCTTGTCATTTACATAACCTCCCTTCCTGACCTCGTAAGAACATTATGCTTAACTAAGACTGTATATTAGCCCCCCCCCCTACCCCGCCTGCTTCTTATCTTTTCATTCTCTTTCATCCA